AGAAGTTTGATTCGCAAAATTAATTATCGTATAAAGTGCAACGAACAATTTTTGCTGCAAAATGAAATAAAGCTTCCTTTAATAAAATTCTTTCTATATCAGGCACGCCATTGTGACATTCCATTCGTGAAAATAATGTTATTTACATTATCCATGTCGCGCTTCACGCGTAAAGAAAATATGTCAGACGTAACTCCACTTTTTTTCTCTGAAATTTTTTGTACTCATACACTGAAAAAAATTTACTAAATTTTAGTAAATATTTGTTTCAATAATACTAACGAAATATTTACTAAATATTTATTGGATTTAAGCATAACTTTTTTTATTTTGAGTAAATACTTATTTACTGTAAGTAAATATTTCGTTAGTACTATTGAAACAAATATTTATTAAAATTCAACAAATTTTTTTTTAGTGTACATAAGAATAAATTTAAAGTAATATATTTCGAAGTATTTGATTATCATGCTTTTTACAGTATCAAATTTTTTATTTAATGTGTATTAAAAATGACTATATTTTTTAAATTCTAGTTCCTAAATGATTTAAAAATTTTCGAATATTCGTATTATTATCGAACATGTTTAAGCAAAAAATATTAATTTTTTTCATTTATCACACTTTGCATACAGCTCTAGATTTCTAAATGTTTAATTATTGCGATAAATTTTCATTCATATTACACTTAAATTTGTATTTCTTTTTCCAAAGCATCAAATAAAATGAAAGATGCAATGAATAATAATTCTTAATTTATTATTTCTAAAATAAGATTTGTAAAATAATTTATAAAAAAAGTTATAGAAAATAAAGTTTATAGAAAAATACGTATATAAATTATTTATATACGTTTCTTTATACTTATATAACTTGAAGTTTTGCACATATACATTAATTTTATCTTATGTTATAAGACATGTACATCATTCAGGCCATTTTTATTTTTAATTTCTGCTTTGCATTTAATATGATAAGAGCACAATCTGCAGTAATAATGAAATGTTCAATGATAAGAGAATGCATGCAATATTATAACGTTATACATTCTTTAAAGTTTTCCTTTTATAATGTTTTGTACTTATAAATTATTTATAATTAAATTTACTGAAATTATTTATTTAAAATTGTCAACATCTCTTATTTCTTTTTTGTTAATTAAGACTATACAAATTTCTAGAGTATATATAGTAAAAAAACAAGATTATCAAGCAAAAATATGCAATGACTAAAATAAAATGTAGCTTCGAATGATTAATTAAAGAATTATGTATATTATAAAAAATTTTTATTTTATAATATACATACAATTTACATATATCAACATGTTATTTTTATCATATGATAAATTAATTGTATATAAAATGAGATAAAGTTTGAAATAATTGATTGATTGATACGAAATTATTTGCGATTATAACGTACTAATGGATTGATTTGCAAAATTAATTAACGTGCGCCGAACCGTTGTCTTAAAATGGAAAAAAAATGCAATATATTTTGTCCACGGTGCGGCGCCACGCACGCTATTCTCATGCCACTTCGTTTATTCAAAATAATTCTATTTATTTATTATTTATAGTACGCTTTACATAAAGAAAAAGTATATTAAACTCCAAAAGAGTAAAATCTCACTCCAAAAAAAAAGAGTGAAAATCTACCACTCTTATTCAAGAATGCAAATATTTTCACTCTTTTTTTATGAAAATATAAAATTGCATGATTAAAATCAGAATAAAGTTGCGTGATTACATTATTAGTTATATAAATTAAGTAAAAATTAACATCAGTTGTACCTGATTTTTTAAAATGCTGTTAGCACAAAATAAGAAGTAACTTATTAAATTTTTTTCTATATTTACTCATTTTTCATTTATTTCATATTTTTGTTGCTAAAAGTTGCGTATATTAAATAATAATATAAAATATTGATGAGGTACGGTTTAAATGATATTGTACTCAATTGGCATTTTTTTCATACAAAAATCTAATGTGAACGAATGTTTTAATAGAAAAAGAATATATTTAAAAACCCACTTGAATATGTGTGGCAATAGTATTTGGCTATGTAGGTCAATTCTAACTCTGGAATCTGGATTTTCGAAATGAATAGAGTGATAGGTGGGTATCGGGATGCGGGGTTTCTACGACCTCGACTTCGTGTGAGACAAAGAAGAACAAAGAAAGGAATATGTCACCGAAGACCCCGCTCCTAGTGACGTACTTCCCCGTTCGTTGCTCCGTGAATCTCGCTCCAACCTGAGTTAGAAACTGGCTTATGTGTGTGTGTGTATATATATATATATATATATATATATGTATAGTGATGTCACAAATTAAATATAAATTGAAAAAGAAAAAGAAATTAAGAATTACCTATAAGATGATAGTTTGAATTGAACAGAATATAAATACTTTGGAACATATTATGAGCAGTAAAAGAAAAAGCGTTTGTTTGTTTTTAGACAGACAATTAGAATACGTCAAGCAAAGAAAAAAATAAGAAGAGATCAATTAAGGCTTCTATGTGTTGCAAGGTAAAAATGTAGAGAAAGTCAAACCTTCTAGGAAGAAGGTAGTACGAGTTAAAAAGATAATTCTCTGGTAAAAGGTCCGTATCATTCTGCTTGCTTAATCCATGATGTTTTTTATAGTGTCACACACGTGGACTCATCTTTATCACTATCAGTGATTGCCGATATGGTTCTGCAAGACATCGAGGAGTGTACTATTTTACTACATATATTTAGATGATATTTTACTTGCAGCATTAATTAATTATTTAGATAAGATATATTAAAAACATTCAATTCCTTTCACGAACGACTACTATATATAGAATAATTTACTATGGATGAGACGCATTGACGATTATATTAGCTTTCTTAATGTAATGCTAATAGTGGAAAATATAGTGCCAATAAATTGTGATATTAAAAAACATAATTAGCTACAAAAGACAATTCAATGTTCGTTTTAGAAAAAATCAAGCAAAAAATTGCTCATACACAATTATGTATAATTTTATATTTAATTATACATAAGCAATTTTTTTATTTTTTTCTAAACTTGATTTTTTTCTAAAATAAACAATGAAAAAATTACTATTTTAATTATTTATTATGTATTTATTTTTCTCATTATTATTATTATTTTTAGTACGCTAACAAGTAACTTTACCAATGATAGAAGAATGTATGAACTTATATGGACATATTTCGAATATAATCATGTGTTTATGAATATTTATACATGTTTATGTATATTTATATATATTCATGTATGACAAATTTTTTTATTGGGTCCGGTTCTTAACCTGTTGCCTCCCTCTTAACGTACCTGACTTTCTACTCTTTTCTACCATGACATAGAAGTCTTATACCTTATGAAGTTGATTTTTTCCTTATTTCTTCTTCTTCGCTTAATCCATTCCAATTATCTCTCCTAGGATCTCTCCTACGACGTTTTTTCTTTTACCGTTGACGGTATTGTGTTCAAAAGTATTTATAATATTTTGTTCAATTCGTGCTGGCATTTCACAGGTAATTATTTCCTTTTTCATTTCATATATAATTTTTTATATCAAGTTACATTTGAATGTGTTTTTCTTATATTTTATGCTTTTTATTAAAGCATTCACATTAGACTTCTTTTACGAAAATAATTTTATTCCGATTGTATAAGTTATATTTATAGTCATTATATACTGAGCAACAAAATTCGATCTTTTTTGTATAGGAAATGTGAATTAACAATCAAAGTCAAAATATTCTCTTTATTTAACTCGTAACAACTCAATAACAATAAATCTTAAAACTATGACATACTATATAATACTAATGAGAAATAACGGACTACACTTGGGACACGTGTAGTAATATAGTTCTTTTTTCAATCCATTTATCTTTGAAACTGCTTCTTGCGATTTACAATTAGTTAAACAAAATTTGTAAACGGATTTGTAGCCATCTTGAAAATATTACACAAACTTTTGTACTATAATAGTGTTTTCATTCAAAGTCTTATCATCATTGCTGCATAATGTCATTGACTTCTATATATTATAAAAGAAGTTGTAATACAATTTTCAAATGTTCTTTTTAGAAAGTATTCTCACATCCTATAAAAATTAATAAACTTAAACAAGAAACAGTGAATCGTAATTTTATTACGTTGACACGACTAAATAAAAATGGAAACGGCAATAGGATTTGAAGAAACTATTACAATGTAGGTGCAAAATTTTATTATAAATTTAAGAAATTATGTTATTTTACCAAAAATATCATAAAATGTTCCTTTATTAATTTGTTACTGTCCAGTACCAAACTAAACAGAAAAAATTCGTAGAAAATATGTTCTACATTCTTGGGGCTGATCATATCGTTAAAATGTATCCAATTTAATTTATGTTTAATTCCAGATATAATAGAAAAGACTTAAGAGACTATATTAACTTTACAATTAATGGAGTGCCTCATGCTGGTACATATTCTTTATATGAAACGTGCAGTTAAGAAAATGAAGAATTCTTCATTGACATCAATAGAAAGCGAAATAACTTAGATTGTGATAAAAGTATTTTAAAATTCAATATTCATATATTATAAAAATCTAATTTGAAACTTCAAAATTTATCAAATATATATTATGACAAAAACCATTACATTCTATTGTGAAAAATTAATTATATGTAAATAAAGGTATTATACAAAAATTTATAAAACTTTGTGAATTATGAGTAACAGTGAGTTTTTTAGAATTAAATATAATAATAGAATTAAATATAAGTTATATGGATAAAATCATAAATTTTACGCCGATTTGTAAAATCGTTTTCAGTATCAGGGAATGGAAACAATTGTCGTGTTTGTATACCGACTAGTATATCCCTCAACGTCTACATTCGCGATTATGCGAAACTACGCGGCACAAAAGCGATGTGTCACGAGGGTGGTTGTGGTACCTGTATTGTGGCTGTGAAAATTAACGGTAAAACAATGGCCGTGAATTCCTGTCTAGTACCGATATTAATCTGTGACGGGTACGTGTGTTAACTCCTTTAGATCCTTCGTACATTATTTGTAATTTCCAATTTGACATAATTTGTAATTACATCAAATTTGAAATTTTGAACACATTATCCATTGAAATTATTTAGTTCTCTCGACATCATCTGCGATCAGATGTACGTAATAATGTATTGAAAAAATAGTCCAAATTAAAAAATTTAATTTTTTGTATGAATTATTTTTTTAAAGTGCTCTTGAATTAAAAAAACATTTTTTTCCAAGTCGAGTGCCAGATTCATATAGATGAATTTGTGTTATGATATTACTATTATCATTGACATCAGAAATTATTCTTTAAAATGTTAAACTATGTCTCTCTTTATATTTATATTTTAAATTCATTTTTTATTTTTTTGAGCTCATTGAATTGTAGCTAATATTAGTATCTCATACATTGGTATACCAAATAATATATTGCAGATGGGATATTTACACGATTGAAGGCTTAGGTAACAAGAGAGATGGTTATCACACGATTCAAGCAACGCTTGCTGACAAAAATGGTTCTCAATGTGGATATTGCTCTCCTGGCATGGTGATGAATCTATATGGGTACGTATTATTAAAATGGTTAATTAATTTGTAAATTAAAGGAATATTGTACTTCAGACACATTTCATTTTTTCTCTTCCTGATAAAATCTTTTCGGAATTGTTGGGTGTTGCAACAAAGTCGCATTAAGAAAATACCCTAAAGAAAAATTAACATACATATAAATATATTATTAATGAATTCCCATAATTATTAATAATCCGATACTAAACAAACAAATCATAAATTAAAATGACGTGTCATTGAATGTTTGTAAAATAAAAGTTTGCATTTGTTGTTTATAATTGCAGTCTCATTCATGACGAAAAGTTGTCTATGCAGCAAATCGAAAATTCATTTGGTGGTAATATTTGTCGATGTACTGGATATCGTTCGATTTTGGATGCGTTCAAGGGATTTGCCAATGATGCACCGCCATCAATGATGAAAAACATCAGCGACATTGAGGTGCCGATGTAAAATTTAATTTTTATTTGAAAATTTCCTTAATTTTATCTTATTTTCTTAATTATTAAAAAGAAAATTTCATTTTGTTATTATAATAATTATTATCGTTATTAAAGAATTCCTTTTATTTAAATTAGAGAGATTTTGGTATTTAACCATAATTTTTAAATGCAGTTATAAATAGGCGCGTTATTACGACTAATATTACTATAGGCTTTCACAATCGAATTGGAAAAGACAGGACAGTCCAGATTTGAATTATGACTGAGGTAATATTTTTTACAATAAGTTCTTCATAGGTTTTAGAATGCTACTAGCAACAAATCGACGATTTAATCTAATTAGAGGGGATTATTAATATTTCAGTTTAATTGTGTTGCAAGTCTGAAAGTAATCGGCACACAGTGACATGTCTGAGATAAACATTTGTATATTATTTACATTATGTTATAAGTATAATAAAATATACTTCACAGGAATTGTACAAAATTAAAGCTTGCCCGAAATACGGAGTGTCACGTGCAGATAGTCGCTGCGACAAGCAACTGTTCCGTGGAAACATATTATATATAAAGTTAGAAGACGCAGAATTTTATAAAGTTTACTCAATCAGAGATGTATTTGAAATATTTCAACGAAATTCGAGAGCTACTTATATATTAAATGGAGGAAATACTGCGTATGGTAATTTTCTATTGAATTGTACCGTTATTTTTGAGAAATTGAAATAAATACTTTCTCATTAAAATAATTTTACTTCTAAGATGCAAACTCTCTGGTAAAATTAACGAAACGAAAATATTACTGTCACTTAATTAAAGGATCCGTATATGATTATACATATATATATATATATAAAACGTATGCACATATATATCATTTTCATTACAGCCTTCAACAATAATTATATGCTGTGTGAAAATACAATTTTATTAATAATTTTTTTAAAATTGACCTCTCTTGTGATACCAATATTTGTCAAGACTTACTAAAAGAAAGTAAAAATCCAAGAAGCTTCGATAATTTTAATTATTCTTAATGTTAGATTTGACAGTGCTATTAATTTTCATGACAAACTAAATATAAAAAGTAAGCTTTAATGCACATAATATTGTAGAAATTTAATTTTGCAGGTGTTTATCGTTCGAGTAAAAAAGATATCTGTATCGATATAAACGACATTCCAGACTTACGTAATATTCAAATTACCAAGGACTATCTGGTCCTAGGAGGAAATGTGACCATTACCATGGCGATACAGACATTTCAAAAATATTCAACCGAACCCAATTTTAAATATCTAAGTCAATTGGCCGAGCATGTAGAAAAGATCGCAAACGTACCCGTGCGAAATATTGGTAGCATCGCCGGCAACTTAATGATTAAGCACGCGCATAATGAGTTCCCATCTGATATGTTTTTGGTATTAGAGACCATCGGTGCTAAAATACATGTCCTAGAATCACCAAGTAGAAAGCAAAGTATGCACCTTATCGAATTTCTGAAGCTCGATATGCATCATAAAATCATCTACAGTGTTGTATTACCACCGTTATCCAACGATTATGAATTTAGATCCTACAAGATCATGCCTAGAGCCCAGAACGCTCATGCTCACGTCAACGCCGGCTTTCTCTTCAAACTCGATGGCGGTGGCAAAGTAATAAAGTACTTTTACATTGTTTATATAACGTTATTATTAATTGCAATAATTACTCATATTTCAACTTCTTTAAATACTTGTTCATATCTATAATATTACATGAAAAGGTATTGGAAGAACCTAACATCATCTATGGTGGCATCAATAAACAGTTCTTGCACGCAACAAAGACACAGCAACAACTGGTGGGTAAATCTATCCTTGATGATGACGTACTGAAGGCAGCCTTGAGTACACTGCATGACGAACTGCAACCTGACCATGTGCTTCCGGACTATTCACCGGAATTCCGCAGAAATCTTGCCGAAGGATTATTTTACAAGTTTGTGTTAAGCATCAAACCAGAGATCGTAAATACCAGACTTCGTAGCGGAGGCTCTTTGTTAGAACGAACTCTATCATCAGGTATATAAGTTGACAAGAATATTTTTATAAATATACCTTTATTGCTTATGTATTCTTACATGTTCGAGGATTCAAGTATATGTCTTACTCCGTGTTAGTAACTTTATTTCATTCATAACACTTAATATTTTAATTTACATTATTTTATTTGTGAATGATGTTCTGATTCCAAATTGTGCATAAAAAATATATCGTTACTCTAGGTACGCAGGACTACGATACAAATAGGGACATATGGCCAGTGAATAAGCCCATAACGAAGTTAGAAGCCATTAAGCAAACATCAGGTGAAGCCCAATATTGCAATGATCTGCCTCCATTTCCTAGAGAAGTATTTTGCGCTTTCGTCCTCACCGAAATTGGTAATGGCAAGATCGAGAATATAGATGCAAACAAGGCGCTTAAAATGAAGGGTGTAGTGGCGTTCTTCAGCGCCAAGGACATACCGGGAAAAAATTTATGCATTGCAGCCGTTAGTGAGTTGTTGTTCATATCAGAGGATGAGTTGCTGTTTGCTGAAAATGATGTTTTGTATGCTGGCCAACCGGTAGGTGTAATTGTCGCGGAGACGCAATATTTGGCAAATGAGGCCGCGAAATTGGTGAAAATTACATATAGCGAATCTTTGAGAACGAAACCGGTGATAAGCATCGAGGATGCAATTGCCACGCAGGACGAGACTAGAATCAGGCACAACGCCAACATCCCGGCAAAAAATATAGGTAGAAATTGATAAAGAACGATACTGGATTTAATCTTTTTAATTAAATTATTATGCTAATTAATTGCAATTATCACAAGAAAATAAAAACAAATATATACATCTCAATTATTGGAAAAAAAATGAGATACGTTACATATTTGCAAACATGTAAAATATTGTACAATAGTACAAGTAACCATTATTAAAATAAAAAAAATGATACACTGGAATGGAAGACTATTTTCTATTATTTTATAGGAAAAAATACTGAACAAGTAATAAAGGGCGTTTTTCATTGCGGCAGTCAGTATCATTACACCATGGAAACTCAGTCTTGCGTGTGCGTTCCTGTGGAGGATGGAATGGACGTCTATCCATCATCGCAATGGATGGATCTCATTCAAATATCGATCGCGAATTGTCTTGATGTTCTGAATAATAGGTAACTCATTAATCTATTGAGTCAACCTCATCTATATGTCGAAGTATTAATTCCTTTAAATGTTACATCGACCTCTCTAAAAATGTCAATGTGTTTATATCATTGATCTAATCGTAAAATGCAAACTATGTGAGTTGTCCGTTATATAAGATCATCTTCTCCTCGCAAAATGTTGAACTGTTGAGAACTGTCTACATTCAATATCTATATTGTCACTTCATTTTTGATATTTTGATCTATTCCCGATGAATCATGGAAATTAAGATAACGTTACCTAGACTAAGAACTTAAAGTGACTATATACTTACAAATTGAAATAGAAAAAAGATGTTTTCATTTCTCTAATAAAAAGAAGTAAATAAAATAGGTCTACCAGAAATGCATTTTGTAAATTAAAATTAGCACCAATCGCGTGAATTTGATTTTTCTAGCATCAATGTGTACATCAGACGAGTTGGTGGTGCATACGGATCGAGAATTTCACGCAACGCGCAAATTTCGTGTGCTTGTGCATTGGTATGTTACAAATTGAATCGTCCAGCACGATTCGTTTTGACGATAGAGAGCAATATGCAATCGGTAGGCAAGAGATATTCTACGCGCCAAGAATATGAAATTGGGGTGAACAATGACGGAGTTATTCAGTACCTCAACTCAAAACATTGGAGCAACTGCGGTTTCAGTTTCAATGAATCACAATCTGCCAGTGTGGTTGACAGCATGAAAAGGTATCGAATATAGCATAAATACGAGTAGTAGATATATAAGCCCATAAATATGTAAGTAATTTATAACAACTTTATATGAAAAATACAGTGTTTAATATGAATAATTTGTTTAATATTAATACTTTCTATTAGATTTTAAATTTGAATGAAAAATTTTTTAAGTAGGGATATATACTAAAATTAATTAAACCTCTTGTCTAATTTTGATTAGAACTTTGCACTAATTTTACTAAAAGAAAATAAATATTATGATATTAATTTAAATAAAGTTAAGTTAATTAACCATGATAAAATAATGTCCTAAAATTGCCTAAATCAAATTTGGAAACATTCTATCGCGATTAATTTTTTATTTTATGTATTATTTTAATGCTTACGAGCGCAATTTCTAGTTATTTGTAGTTTTTAATTAGTTCATATTCACAATCAGTTTATTTTATCAGTTGTTCCTATGCGACCGATTTTTGGACGTTCAATGGATTTGACGTACGAACCGATATACCGTCAAATACGTTTTGTCGGGCACCATTCAATACGGAAGCAGTGGCTATGATCGAGAATATAATGGAGCACATAGCGAGAGTGACGAAAAAGGATCCGGTAGAGGTCAGATTGTCGAATATGAATGATGTAGATAAAACCGTATTAGAAACTATGATAAAGGATTTGTCGAAGTCGGCAGATTATGAGATGCGAAAACGAGCCGTTGAAATCTTTAATACTCAGAATCGTTGGAAGAAGAAGGGAATTGCCACAGTAATAATGAAATTTGTGGCAATTTATTTGGGGCAATTCAATGCAATGGTATCTATTTGCGCTCGTGACGGTTCGGTTTGCGTGACGCATGGCGGAATTGAGGTCGGTCAAGGGATAAATACCAAGGTATAATAAATATAATTATTTATTTGAGCGAGTTCTTTCACTGTTTTCGTCCGATGATTGTTTAAACTAATGTATAAAAGACAATTAATATGAAAAAAAATCCATTTCGGTAAAATAAAACATCTACTTTAAAAATCAGAATTGAAATTTTGATATTCGATTTTTCCAGATTTTTGTACATAGTTTTTTTATGCATATCGATTTTTCCAGATTTTTGTACATAGTTTTTTTTACGCATATTTCCTATATTTTGTAAAATTAATTATTTGGTAGTCATTTACATAGAAAGGAATTTAACATAAATACGACGCTTCATATTTTTAACTACTTAAAAATAATTCTTGTACTAGATTGCTCAAATGACAGCTCGCACATTAGGGATCGATCTGGAATTAATCTCCGTTAAAAAAAGTAATAATTTAACAACACCCAATAATGTGAATACAGGAGGCGATATTACTACACAGTCCTGCGGATACGTAAGAAGTCAAATCACCTCTAGACAAGAAATGTATCACAATGTCCAATGTCGATTCGATTCTCTTTGAAATAAGTTGTTAGACATAAAAGTTTATGAGACACGTATTAGGTCAAAATTAATGGAGACAGAGGTATTTATCAAAATATTAGATTTCTGAAAAATCTAAATTCATAGTTGTAAAGTATATAAAAATATACCATAAACGTTTCGTCTAAAACACTTTCATCATGTGAACATCTCATCATGTTTCGCAGATAACTGATAACAATTAAATACAAACATTAGTTTCGAGGGGATGTATCATGTATGTATCTTGAATCAGAAACTGGATAAACATAAAAAATATGTGTCTCTTTGGATCATGTCTTTATCAACAGAAGAATCAAATTGGTTTCGAAGTTGTGACAGATGATTTCTTGTAAGATTTTAAAAAAGATGATATTAAATATACACTAAATCAAACTTAATGAAGAGAATATCGATTATTGAATCTATTTCAGGCAACAATTCAAGCCTGCAAAGAGATTTTGAAGAGACTTGAACCGATAAGAAATGAAATGACAAATCCGACGTGGAAGGATCTCGTTTTCACAGCATTTAAAAAAGACGTTGATTTATGCGCACGTTACATGTAAGAGTTATTAAGTTATATTTGAAATGTCATTGACATATTGTATCACACAAACTTGTCATAAAATACTTCAAAACATTGTTTTAAAGATATTGTACTTTTCTAAAGATATTGTACATTCATTCGCAAGAAACAATTGCCTTTTGTTTGAAATAAATAACAGATTATGAAAAATACAGTTTAAATATTTCATTCGCATTTCTCGTAATTATAGAAGTAAGCATATTCACCATTTATACACTGAGAAAAAAATGCTGTTGATTCAATTAAAATCTATTTATATTACGGGCTGTCACTAACATAAGTAATTAATTCATATTTATTTTTATTGACATAAAGGCCTTGATTATTGGAATAATAATTTATGTCTTTATGTCAATAAAAGTATACATAAATTAATCACTTATGCTAGTGATAGCCCGTAATATAGACTTTAATTGAATCAACAGCATTATTTTCTCAGTGTATGTGTCTTTACAAATACAATTTCGATGAATAAACAGATTAAAATTTTATATTTATAAAACGGCATGTCTTGATAATAGAGAAATTGTTATTTATAATTGTGCATAACTTATATCTTGGCAGGGTGGCAACCGGGCCAACAAAAGATGAGATAAAGCCTTACAACATTTATGGTGTCACCATTGCCGAAGTAGAGATCGATGTATTGACCGGCGAGCATATTATCAGAAGAGTTGATTTGATGGAAGATGCTGGTGTAAGCCTAAATCCGGAAATCGACGTCGGTCAGGTGGAGGGAGCTTTCGTGATGGGAATAGGATATTGGACTTCTGAGGATCTGGTGTACGATCCTAAAACAGGAGTATTAACGAATGACAGAACCTGGGTACGTTATCTTCATCAAATTTCGCTTCATCAAATGCAGCTGTTACCGTCAAGACACAATTGCTTCGATTCATCGAGATATTCCTAAAAATACGTATTTAATTTATCTAAAGTACTCAACTTTTCCTCACAGAATTATAAACCAGCAGGAGCGAAGGATATTCCTGAAGATTTCCGCGTATATTTACGCAAAAACTCGGTCAACCCATTCGGCATGTTTGGTTCAAAATGTGAGATTAAAACTTTTTCATTTAAACTATTTACTATCAAACATAAAACTTAAATATTTTCTACATATTTGTGTACAAATCAGTCGATGAGTGTAGAAAAAAAAACAAATCACATTAAAGTTCAACGTTTACTTTATGTCTTAGAAACCTGAGACAAGTACAAGTACAATTATATAGCGTAACTACATTTCAAGATCAGTGAAAGGAAAACTTTTTTTCGAACGAAATTGGACTCTTCTTTCTATATTTAACGATTCAATAAAGAAATCGTAGAATTTCTTTTTAAAAAATATTCAAATTCATAAAAAATTAATCAAAAAAAATGTATACCTATTCCTATAATTTATAATTTAATTTAAATAAACTGAATACAATTTCTAGAAATTTGATAGAAATTTTAATAAATCCGCATATAAAAATTAGAAACATTAAAGAACCGACTGTCGATTAATCGTGAAATATCTTTGTAGCAACCGGTGAACCACCGCTTTGTATGAGTTGTGTAATTCCGACAGCGATCCGCAAAGCATTGAATTCCGCTAGAGCGGATGCAGGGAATATGGATGAGTGGTATCAACTGGGTAAGTTTTAAGTAAAAATATATTTGTATATCTTTAATAATTCAAAATACAACACTAATCACCTAACTTTATATGATTTGGCTTAATATCTGCAGTTGTTTCAATAAATGCAAATTGTTTAATCGTTATGTATTTTAATGTGCTTGCATTAAACAAACATTTTTAATCTTTTACAATCCAACTTTTTTACCTTTTTTTCCTTCATTAGAATATATAATAAATTTTGAATGGCAATGGTTTAAAGGAAAAACGTTGGGGCTTATGATCTAATCGATTTCTTACCGTTCTTTTAAAACTACAAATAATTCTCATTTTATATAATAATCACGCTATACATTACTCAAAGTCAAACCCTAAACATTTAACTGTTGTAATAAAATAGTCAAAAACATATTATTTAGGAATTGGATACTAGTCAGACATACTTTTAAAATTTCCTTCTTATAATTAGAATGCACATGAGAATACTTATAAAATATTATTATATAATAAGGTATAAGTATTACAATATATATAAACATATAATTCGTGATGTTTGCAGATGGACCGTGTACTACAGAACGTATACTTCTAACCAGTTTAACCAGCAAAAATGACATGGTGCTTTCCCAAACAGCACATGATTTTGAGCTGGTTCCGCGGGATATCGAAGAAGTATATTGCGTACATTCTCAGAATGACATTCAAAATACGTACTGCGACGTACAATAGTACACACTGAGATGGTTCCTATGTCTCGCGTACTTTATTAGTACGTACTAAAAATGTCCCGCAGTACGTTTATAGTACAGTTACGGTCTGTACCAGTATCAGCACGCAACTAGATTATCTACTATCGGTAATCCATAGTATGTCTATAGAAAAGTTATGAAATATCACGTATATGCACGCATACACTGAAAGAAAAGATTGACTGAATATGGCATAGTATTTTTAATTGGTTGCAGCAGCCAATTTTTGGTTGCGTTAGCTTGTTGAAATCCTATACTGACTTGAGGATAGCCTAACGCAACCAAAAATTGACTGCTGCAACCAAAAATTGGCTGTTGCAGCCAATTAAAAATGGTATACCATATTTTATCATCTAATTTGCTGCGGCAGCTAATCTTTTTTTTCAGTGTACGTACGTATACAACTTCGCGCGCGTGTGCTTGCATATATATATATATATATATATATATTCATATATAGGATGTTTTCCAGCAAGAAGCACAGATGACACAGTGTAACACAGTATCATTATATCCTCGTTTGCCATTTAACAAGGATCAAATCAATTTACCACGATATACTATTATACTATGTCATGGTGTTTCTTGTTGGAAAAAAACCTTTGGTTAGGGTAGGTTAAATAATGTATTAATTTGTCTTTATGAGCTCTCTCTACTTAAAATTTGTTTATTTAAAATAAATACTATAATTGAGTTGTCATTTCAATTGCTGTATACCTGGAATAAATTAAAAAATCTTGTGTATAATATAAGAATATATGTATGAAGTATGTATTAGGAGGGTGTTTTATAACAGAATATTATCTTCCGATTTTTAATCTACTATCTCCCTCCTAATGTGTCTGATTTTTTCCTTTTGTTTACTATAACATAGAAGCCTTATAAAGTTCATTTTTTTCTTATTTCTTCTTCACTTAATCCATTCCAATTGTCTCTCCAAGGACTAATATGACGTTTTTTCTTTTACCATTGACGATATTGTATTCAAAAGTATTTATAATATTCTGTTCAGTTCGTGCTACCATTTTACAAGTAATTATTTCTTTTTCTTTTTCAGTTCATATATAATTTTTTATATCAAGTTATATTTGAATGTGTTTATATTTTCTTCTTTTTATTAAAGCATTCACATTAGATTTCGTTTACGAAAAGAATTTTATTTCGATTATAAGTTATTTTTATAGTCATACTGTAAGATAGGTAATTTCTGTCTTATTGTCGGTAACTATTTCATGTATATTAGGTCTTAATTTCTTTAATCGACCACTCTATAGCGTTTGCGTTGTGTTTACATGTGATGTGCGATTGGATAGTTAGATACTGGAGTTATTCCGAAATCAGTCTGTAAGTGATAGAGTTCAACTGCGAATGCATTTGTAATTTAAATAAATATACGTGACTCTATCTTTACTTAAACATTTTGGAATTCCGTGCTACCTCCATCCTACAATACTAAGCAACAAAATTCGATTTTTTAATATGAATTAGCAATTAAAGTTAAAATACTCCTTTTATTTAATCCGTGACAACTCAATAATAATAAATTTTAAAAATATGATACATACAATATATTTTCATGTACTTATTTGCATTCATTACGATAATAGTATAATTTTGTTGCATGATAAGAACATAAGAAATAATTGACTACACTTGGGACATATGTAGTGATAAAGTTCTTTTTTCAATCCATTTATCCTTGAAACTAGTTTTTGCGACTTACAAGTAGTTAAACTAATTTATTTTAAAAAATAAGTAGCAAAAACGTGGCTTATACAAAATTAAAAAAATGTTTACTCTGTAAGGTAAACGCTTTTAGGTAAGCGTATTTTAGATATTTTAGAAAACGATTAATTATAGCAAACTTCATCCAAAGTCAAATTCTTATCATCACATTTTATTTATCCCTACAATTTTGCTTCTTATTTACATATTTTTCGTTACAGTCAATCATTTTCGAGATATTTTAGCATTTCCGAATTTTTTGGAGACCCTGTATATTCAAATTGTCAAATATGTTGTACTTTCTTCGCTAACTAAAACTACAATTCTCCAAAAAGGTCCTTATAAAGAAAAACAAAATATTAAGAGAAAATACGTAATAATTAAAGTAAGGAAAGTTAGAGTTTTGAATAATACAAAAGCATACAATTAATATTGGCTTTATTCATATTCATTTCAACAATAAGGTATCTGATATCGTTAAAATATTTCATTTTTGAGCTATGATGAATGTGTATGTAACAACACTAATATAAGTTATACTTCAATCACATTCATGTTACTTGTTAAAATATGCTATTTCTCATGTTAAAAAACATAAAGTAAGAATTCATCGCAAAAATGACAATTTTAAAATGACTTATCAAGCTTTTTTATCGCACTGGACAGCACACACGTGCATATTGCATGCGCTATTTAGCTTTTTATTTTTATTATTTAATATATTTTCTTAAATACTTGTTTAAATACGCACAATTAATGTTATATTGTTATTATTACATTATTATCTCTTCGATACTTAACTGTCAATAATCGGAAATATGCGATAGTATTATACTCTATAAGATAAATGCAAAGAGACTAATTGGCATCGCAGAAAAACAATAGATTTCAATATAAGTATTATATGTTTCAATCAATTTTATATGTTTCCTTTTAAAAGTGGAAGCATTTATAAGTTTAACTTAAATACATTTTTACTGAGCTGCATGATTTTTATGTTATATTTAAACTTATATTCAAATATAAGAAATTCAAAAAACAGAGAAAATACTCCCTTATTTAATGAATTTAATGCAAAATAATCAAGTTATGATTTTTTTTCTTTAATAATCTTGTGAAAATCATATTGTCCTATACTAGCATTCAAAAGTTTCAGCACATTCTTCGTTTATGGAAATTTCGTAACATAAATAAATAAAAAAAAATAAGAAATAAAATTTTGCGTATATTATGTTTATTAATTTGTAATAACTTATTTTTACAAATATTAGAAGAAAAAACTCATTTTTTTTAACTTGTCAAATTAATTTTCCGGGCTTTGGTAACAAATCAAATTTTTGGCAGTCTGTCGTTCGCAAATATCTAAATTAAAGACTTGTATTTATCATATCCATATATATATTCAAATGTTTACTGATATTTGGGGCAAAATTAAAAATTGATAATTCTTTTCATCGATGTATATGTGTATGTGTTTTTTCGCGCAAAATTCTTTTTCGATCGAAATAAGAGAATATATATTATAAATCACATTTTATACACGATGTCTCCGACTTATGGGATCACCTCTCGATACTTTAGGAAATATTAATTTCTGAAAGATCACTGAATAAGCATGTATCCTTGCGGAGTGATAGACGCATCGCTTGAGTCATAGTGTTTAGCGCGTGCCTACCAGACAGTTCTTGCGCGAGCAACCGTAATCGATGAAAAAAGATATTTGATAGTAGTCTGCGCGGATACGTGCTTATATTCAATGATCTTTAAAAATTAATATTTCCTAAAGTATTGCAAAAATTGCAAAACAGTAAAAGAATTTCGACTCAGTTCAGTCGTTCTATCTGTTCACAAGAGGCGATCCTGTAGGCCGTCAGTACCTTGTATACAGGGTGTTTCCAAATTAAATGGCAAAACTTCGGGAGCGTGTAGAGGAGTAAAAAACTAAGAAAAAAAGTCCTATAGACATATGCTCCTTTTTGCTTTGTTTCGCAGGAAATCACGAAAAAAGAAAAAAATATATTTAATTTATTATTTTAATTATTTTATTTATAAACTTTTTAATGAAGATTTTGTTCGAAATGTGCACCTCTTGCAGCAATACAAGCATTGCATCTGTCAAACACGGCTCTTGTAGCAGCCAGGCACTGTTCTTGCGATATTCTGTTCGCTGCAGCTACGATACGATTTCTCAAATGTTGCTCTGATTGAATAGGCGAAGAATAAACTTCTTGCTTCAGAGTACCCCATGCATAGAAATCTAATGGCGTTAAGTCGGGCGAACGAGTTGCCCAATGTACTGCTCCTCCACGTCCAATCCATCGTTGTGGGAATTTTCTATCTAACCAGGTTCTAGCGACTCTGCTGTAATGAGCAGGGCATCCATCTAATTGAAACCACATTTCAGTACGTTGTTGTAATGGGATGTTTTCTAAATAGTCAGAAAATTCATTCTCCAAGAAATTTAGAAAAGGAAGTTTTTAACAAAAACATAAGGTGTGCTGAAACTTTTGAGTAATAGTGTGTACGTTAATATGCCTGTAATATGATATGTCATTAAAATAACATTTTTATAACTACATGAGTATTCCTATATAAATAGTGCAGTAGTTATTTTTTAAATATTACACGAATTTTTTCACATTGTTACGTTTATGTGCAGTCTTATCACTGTCACTATGGACGTCCACAGAGAGGGGCAAGGGGGGCTTATCTTCCCCCTCCCACCTGGTCGAGAGACACGTGTTGAATAAAAGCGCATGTGGGTGGGGTTAAAATTTAAAAATACAAAAATACCCTGGTGAAAAAATTTCGCTGAAATTATTTTACGTTTTGGAACATTTCAGCGAACATTGCTGAAAATTTGTTGAAATTTCACTGAAAATGAATTTTTCAATTAATATATTGAAAAATCATTGAAATTTCTCTGATATTTTTACTGAAATTTGTCTAAAATTTTACTGAAAATGAATTTTTCAACTAAAAATCGCTGAAATTAAACTGAAATTTTTCTAAAATGCTGAAATTTTACTGAAAAATGTTCCAAAACGTGAAATAACTTCAGCGAAATTTTTTCGTCTGAATACAAAAAAAAAATAAAAAATCTTAAAAAACGAAATACCTTCCTCGACATACATCTACCTTGTCGTAATGAGGAAGATTTTAATTAAAAAGTAAAAGGTGTACACATTAGAAATTAATAAGTGATGAAAAAAAGTCATTAACTCGACACTTGCATTGTAGGGATTGTAGGGTCACCAAGGAAGGAAATATTTTGAACATTTTTTCCTTACGCGTAGCAAGACTGTCCCCTCTCCTTAGAAAAAATTCTGTCGACGCCCATGACTGTCACTGTATAAATACTGGACTATTTGGAAGCAAATAGAAGTTGAAGTAGCTGCTAGTTACTGTTTTATCAGTACAATTCTTTCAAACAAGGTTTTGACGTCCTGTAAAAGTCAATATTTGTTCAGATGAGGGATCGCTTGGATGTTACACACATATTGACATAATTGACAATAATACAAACAGCAATAATGTAAGTTCTTATTATATTTATAATGAATTTGACATCGTTAAGAAAGTATCACTTTTATGTTGCATAACAATATTAAGTATAACAATATTGTATAATTGTAAAAAAAAATAGAGAAGGTACAATTTCTTACAAATAATTGTTAGCAAAACTATGATGACAAAATGTTATATTGTTGAAAAATATGACTAAGCGTACGTGAAACATAATAAATCAGCTTTGAAATTGTTAATTTCAAAGTTTTTTATCTTAAAACATTTACAATTTGCATTTAATGCTTAATATTAAATATATTTCTTGGTTTTATGTGTATATAACTGTATATTTTACAAGGTGGTACAATTTTGAACATATAATTTTGAACAAAATAAAAATTCAATTTAAAAAATCAAGTTTACAAAAGTTTATAATTTTATTAAATAGTGAATCTTATTAATTTAATTTTATTGCTCGAAGGACGTTCGAAGATATAGAAGAAAATTTCTGATCTTTGAAAATTAGATTCAAATCTTTTATGTCTTATAGAATTGTATCATGTTTGAAATTGTATAACCATTTCTTACATTTGTAAACGGATTTGAAGTAATTTTGAAAATATTACATAAACTTTTGTTCTTTAATAATGTTTTCATTTAAAGTCTTATCATCATTGCTGCATAATCTTATTGATTTTTTTTTATGTATGCATTTTAAAATAAATTATATTATAGTATATTATAGTATAATTTCTAAATATATTACATTTTTAGAAAGTATTCCCACGTCTTATAAAAATTAATAGAATTTAAACAAGAAATAGTGAATTGTTATTTTATTAAGTTGACATGACTGAGTAAAAATGGAAACAGCAATAGGATTTGAAGAAACTATTACAATGTAGGTGCAAAATTTTATTATAAATTTAAGAAATTATGTTATTTTATCAAAAATATCATAAAATGTTCCTTTATTAATTTGTTACTGTCCAGTACCAAACTAAACAGAAAAAATTCGTAGAAAATATGTTCTACATTCTTGGGGCTGATCATATCGTTAAAATGTATCCAATTTAATTTATGTTTAATTCCAGATATAATAGAAAAGACTTAAGAGACTATATTAACTTTACAATTAATGGAGTGCCTCATGCTGGTACATATTCTTTATATGAAACGTGCAGTTAAGAAAATGAAGAATTCTTCATTGACATCAATAGAAAGCGAAATAACTTAGATTGTGATAAAAGTATTTTAAAATTCAATATTCATATATTATAAAAATCTAATTTGAAACTTCAAAATTTATCAAATATATATTATGACAAAAACCATTACATTCTATTGTGAAAAATTAATTATATGTAAATAAAGGTATTATACAAAAATTTATAAAACTTTGTGAATTATGAGTAACAGTGAGTTTTTTAGAATTAAATATAATAATAGAATTAAATATAAGTTATATGGATAAAATCATAAATTTTACGCCGATTTGTAAAATCGTTTTCAGTATCAGGGAATGGAAACAATTGTCGTGTTTGTATACCGACTAGTATATCCCTCAACGTCTACATTCGCGATTATGCGAAACTACGCGGCACAAAAGCGATGTGTCACGAGGGTGGTTGTGGTACCTGTATTGTGGCTGTGAAAATTAACGGTAAAACAATGGCCGTGAATTCCTGTCTAGTACCGATATTAATCTGTGACGGGTACGTGTGTTAACCCCTTTAGATCCTTCATTATTTGTAGTTTCCAATTTGATATAATTTGTAATTACATCAAATTTGAAATTTTGAACACATTATCCATTGAAATTATTTAGTTCTCTCGACATCATCTGCGATCAGATGTACGTAATAATGTATTGAAAAAATAGTCCAAATTAAAAAATTTAATTTTTTGTATGAATTATTTTTTTAAAGTGCTCTTGAATTAAAAAAACATTTTTTTCCAAGTCGAGTGCCAGATTCATATAGATGAATTTGTGTTATGATATTACTATTATCATTGACATCAGAAATTATTCTTTAAAATGTTAAACTATGTCTCTCTTTATATTTATATTTTAAATTCATTTTTTATTTTTTTGAGCTCATTGAATTGTAGCTAATATTAATATCTCATACATTGGTATACCAAATAATATATTGCAGATGGGATATTTACACGATTGAAGGCTTAGGTAACAAGAGAGATGGTTATCACACGATTCAAGCAACGCTTGCTGACAAAAATGGTTCTCAATGTGGATATTGCTCTCCTGGCATGGTGATGAATCTATATGGGTACGTATTATTAAAATGGTTAATTAATTTGTAAATTAAAGGAATATTGTACTTCAGACACATTTCATTTTTTCTCTTCCTGATAAAATCTTTTCGGAATTGTTGGGTGTTGCAACAAAGTCGCATTAAAAAAATACCCTAAAGAAAAATTAACATACATATAAATATATTATTAAATGAATCGCTATAATCATTAATAATCCAATAGTAAACAAATCATCAATTAAAATGACATGTCATTGAATGTTTGTAAAATAAAAATTTGCATTTGTTGTTTATAATTTGCAGTCTCATTCATGACGAAAAGTTGTCTATGCAGCAAATCGAAAATTCATTTGGTGGCAACATTTGTCGATGTACTGGATATCGTTCAATTTTGGATGCATTCAAAGGATTTGCCAATGATGCACCGCCATCAATGATGAAAAATATCAGCGACATTGAGGTACTGGTATAAAAAGTTTGATTTTTATGACAAAAATTTAATTTTTATTTCGAAATTTCTTTAATTTTATCTAATTATCAAAGATAAAATTTCATTATTATAATAATTATTATTTAATCGTTATTATAAAATTTCCTTTATATTATAATAGCAAGTTAATCAAGACTGCTATGTAAATAAACCAAATAAGTAAAAAAAACAGTCAATTTAGTCAATACTAGAGTAGCTCTTACTCATTCTAACGCGCTTGATACAGTGAGTAGGAGATATGGTAGGAGCATGTTGGAGCATGTTGGAGCTTGCGACGCGAACAAATCTTAGATCTTGGTTTGTATATTATATATACAATATATTTAATAATAACACAGGTCTACAAAAAAAAGTATCCTGTACTGGGGTGGAGAGCTATTCTTATGTATTTTGAGTCGCATAAAGAAAGTATCCTTAAGAAATCTGACATAAAAATAGGACCATCTATGGCAAATTTTCAATCTAGAGAAAAAAAATTGGTCAAAAACCTCGAAATTTGCTTTTATTCATATATTCTAAGACCATTGGCAAAAACTTAAAGTATAACAAAACATATATGTTGTAGGAATTGTACAAGATCAAAACTTGCCCGAAATACAGAGTTCCACGTACAGATAGTCGCTGCGACAAACAACTGTCCCGTGGAAATACGGTGTACATAAAGTTAAAAGACGCGGAATTTTCTAAAGTTTACTCAATCAGAGATGTATTTGAAATATTTCAACGAAATTCGAGAGCTACTTATATATTAAATGGAGGAAATACTGCGTATGGTAATTTTCTATTGAATTGTACCGTTATTTTTGAGAAATTGAAATAAATACTTTCTCATCAAAATAATTTTACAACGAAGATGCTCTTTCTGGTAAAATGAAAATATTAATATTACTGTTACTTAATTAAAGGATCCGTATATGATTATACATATATATATATATATAAAACGTATGCACATATATATCATTTTCATTACAGCCTTCAACAATAATTATATGCTGTGTGAAAATACAATTTTATTAATAATTTTTTTTAAATTGACAATGACCTCTCTTGTGATATCAATATTTGTCGAGATTTACTAAAAGAAAGTAAAAATCCAAGAAGCTTCGATAATTTTAATTACCCTATAATGTCAGATTTGACAGTACTATTAATTTTCACGACAAACTAAATATAAAAAGTAAGCTTTAATGCACATAATATTGTAGAAATTTAATTTTGCAGGTGTTTATCGTTCGAGTAAAAAAGATATCTGTATCGATATAAACGACATTCCAGACTTACGTGATATTCAAATTACCAAGGACTATCTGGTCCTAGGAGGAAATGTGACCATTACCATGGCGATACAGACATTTCAAAAATATTCAACCGAACCCAATTTTAAATATCTAAGTCAATTGGCCGAGCATGTAGAAAAGATCGCAAACGTACCCGTGCGAAATATTGGTAGCATCGCCGGCAACTTAATGATTAAGCACGCGCATAATGAGTTCCAATCTGATATGTTTTTGGTATTAGAGACCATCGGTGCTAAAATACATGTCCTAGAATCACCAAGTAGAAAGCAAAGTATGCACCTTATCGAATTTCTGAAGCTCGATATGCATCATAAAATCATCTACAGTGTTGTATTACCACCGTTATCCAACGATTATGAATTTAGATCCTACAAGATCATGCCTAGAGCCCAGAACGCTCATGCTCACGTCAACGCCGGCTTTCTCTTCAAACTCGATGGCGGTGGCAAAGTAATAAAGTACTTTTACATTGTTTATATAACGTTATTATTAATTGCAATAATTACTCATATTTCAACTTCTTTAAATACTTGTTCATATCTATAATATTACATGAAAAGGTATTGGAAGAACCTAACATCATCTATGGTGGCATCAATAAACAGAGCAGAAATCTTGCCGAAGGATTATTTTACAAGTTTGTGTTAAGCATCAAACCAGAGATCGTAAATACCAGACTTCGTAGCGGAGGCTCTTTGTTAGAACGAACTCTATCATCAGGTATATAAGTTGACAAGAATATTTTTATAAATATACCTTTATTGCTTATGTATTCTTACGTGTTCGAGGATTCAAGTATATGTCTTGCTCCGTGTTAGTAATTTTATCTCATTCATAACACTTAATATTTTAATTTACATTATTTTATTTGTGAATGATGTTCTGATTCCAAATTGTGCATAAAAAATATATCGTTACTCTAGGTACGCAGGACTACGATACAAATAGGGACATATGGCCAGTGAATAAGCCCATAACGAAGTTAGAAGCCATTAAGCAAACATCAGGTGAAGCCCAATATTGCAATGATCTGCCTCCATTTCCTAGAGAAGTATTTTGCGCTTTCGTCCTCACCGAAATTGGTAATGGCAAGATCGAGAATATAGATGCAAGCAAGGTGCTTAAAATGAAGGGTGTAGTGGCGTTCTTCAGCGCAAAGGACATACCGGGAAAAAATGTGTGCATTGCAGCCGTTAGTGAGTTGTTGTTGTTGCCAGAGGATGAGTTGCTGTTTGCTGAAAATGATATTTTGTATGCTGGCCAACCGGTAGGTGTAATTGTCGCGAAGACGCAATATTTGGCAAATGAAGCCGTGAAATTGGTGAAAATTACGTATAGCGAATCTCTGAGAACGAAGCCGGTGATAAGCATCGAGGATGCAATTGCCACGCAGGACGAGACTAGAATCAGGCACAACGCCAACATTCCGGCAAAAAATAAAGGTAAAAATTGATAAAAAACGATACTGGATTTAATATTTTAATTAAATTATTATGCTAATTGATTACAATTATCACAAGAAAATAAAAACAAATATATGTCTCAATTATTGGGAAAAAGAATGAGATTGGTTACATGTTTGTAAACCTGTAAACTAGTACAAATAATTCTTACTAAAATAAAAAAAATGATACACTGGAATGGAAGACTATTTTCTATTATTTTATAGGAAAAAATACTGAACAAGTAATAAAGGGCGTTTTTCATTGCGGCAGTCAGTATCATTACACCATGGAAACTCAGTCTTGCGTGTGCGTTCCTGTGGAGGATGGAATGGACGTCTATCCATCATCGCAATGGATGGATCTCATTCAAGTATCGATTGCGAATTGTCTTAATGTTCAGAATAATAGGTAACTCATTAATCTATTTAGTCAAGCTCATCTATATGTCGAAGTATTAATTCTAGAGTCCGATCGAAGTCATATTTTGACCTCCGGCCGAAACCGAAAACGAATATTCAATTGTCATTCAATTTCGGCCGAAAACGAAACCAAAACCGAAACTTAGATAAGTCTTACTAAAAAAAAGAGAGGGAAGCTAACATTTTTTTTCGGCCAGAGTTGAAATTAACATTTTCGGAGACGGTATTAATTTTATAGAGGCGCGGACGATATGATTTTCAGAAATCATGATAAATTATGTATTCTTTAAAAAACAAGATTTTATGAATATGTAACTATAATATAACAATATTTCATCCTCAACTTTTAAAGAAATCAAATCACAATTATAACTGTGATTTGATTTCTTTAAAAGTTGAGGATTATTAGGATCACATCAACGTTTGTACTCAAATTTTCTTAAGCTTAATCAAGGAGTTAATAATTAAAATCGAACAGTTGTTTTTTGATCGCTGACCGGCGCGTTGCAACTTGTATAGTTTCTATTTACTCATCAAAATTTTCTCTTAATTTCAGCCGAAACCAAAATCAAATCGAAATCTTGATTTTTTACCGAAACTGACTTATCCGAAACGAAAATTTCGGTCAGATTCTAATTTCTTAAATTGTCACATCAATCTCTCTAAAAATGTCAAATTATTTATATCATTGATCTAATCATAAAACGTATTCTATATGAATTGTCCATTATACATATAAGGTCATCTTCTTCTCTCAAAATTGATTTATTGTTATCTATATTCAATGTCTGTATTACATTTATATATGTATTCATTCTTGATGTTTTGATCTATTCCCGACAAATCATGGGAATTAAGAAAAGGTTACTTAGGATACACTCCGAGTTGGAGCAAAATGCACCATTTGTCTTTGTTGTTCACAAAATAATAAAGAAATATAAAATGATACATTATGCGTTTCATGCGTAACTCGGAACGCATTCCAAGACTGAAACTTAAAGTGACTATACTTAAAAAATGAAATAGAAAAAAGACGTTTTCATTTCTCCAATGAAAAGAAATAAATTAAAAAGGGCACCAGAAATGCATTTTGTAAATTAAAATTAGCACTAATCGCGTAAATTTAATTTTTCTAGCATCAATGTGAATGTCACTCGAGTTGGTGGTGCTATGGAGCGAAAATTTCACGCAACGCGCAAATTTCGTGTGCTTGTGCATTGGTATGTTACAAATTGAATCGTCCAGCACGATTCGTTTTGACGATAGAGAGCAATATGCAATCGGTAGGCAAGAGATATTCTACGCGCCAAGAATATGAAATTGGGGTGGACAATGACGGAATTATTCAATATCTCAACTCAAAACATTGGAGCAACTGCGGTTTCAGTTTCAATGAATCACAATCTGCCAGTGTGGTTGACAGCATGAAAAGGTATCGAATATAGCATAAATACGAGTAGTAGATATATAAGCCCATAAATATGTAAGCAATTTGTAACAACTCTGTATGAAAAATACAGTGTTTAATATGAATAATTTGTTAATATTAATACTTTCTATTAGATTTTAAATTTGAATGAAAAATTTTTTAAGTAGAGATATATATTAAAATTAATTAAACCTCTTGTCTAATTTTGATTAGAACTTTGCACTAATTTTACTAAAAGAAAATAAATATTATGATATTAATTTAAATAAAGTTAAGTTAATTAACCATGATAAAATAATGTCCTAAAATTGCCTAAATCAAATTTGGAAACATTCTATCGCGATTAATTTTTTATTTTATGTATTATTTTAATGCTTACGAGCGCAATTTCTAGTTATTTGTAGTTTTTAATTAGTTCATATTCACAATCAGTTTATTTTATCAGTTGTTCCTATGCGACCGATTTTTGGACGTTCAATGGATTTGACGTACGAACCGATATACCGTCAAATACGTTTTGTCGGGCACCATTCAATACGGAAGCAGTGGCTATGATCGAGAATATGATGGAGCACATAGCGAGAGTGACGAAAAAGGATCCAGTAGAGGTCAGATTGTCGAATATGAATGATGTAGATAAAACCGTATTAGAAACTATGATAAAGGATTTGTCGAAGTCGGCAGATTATGAGGTGCGGAAACGAGCCGTTGAAATCTTCAACACTCAGAATCGTTGGAAGAAAAAGGGAATTGCCATCGTAACAATGAAATATCCATTATTCTATTTGGGGCAATTCAACGCAATGGTGTCTGTTTGCGCTCGTGATGGTTCGGTTTGCGTGACACATGGCGGAATTGAAATCGGTCAAGGGATAAATACCAAGGTATGAAAATTATTTATTTAAGCTAGTTCTTTCACTCTTTTTGTATGATGATCGGTTAAGCCGTTAAGTTAATGAACAAAAGGCATTTAATAAGAAAGAAAATCCATTTTAATAAAATAAAATATTTACTTTAAAAGAAAATCGTAACTGAAATTGATATTTGATATTTCCGGATTCTATACATTGTTTTTTTAATACATATTTCTTATATTTTGAATAAAATTAACTATTTGATAGATTCATTTACATACAAAATAGTTAGATACGATTTAATATAAATACGACGCTTTATATTTTTAACTAATTAAAAATAATTCTTGTCTTATATATATAGATTGCTCAAATGGTAGCTTACAAATTAGGGATCGCTGTGGAATTAATCTCCGTTAAACGAAGTAATAATTTAACAACACCCAATAATATAATTACAGGGGCTAGTATGACTACTCAGTCCTGCGGATACGTAAGAATTCAAATCATCTCTAGACAAGAAAGTTATCGTAACTGTCTAATATCGATACGATTCTCCATGAAATGAATTGTTAGACATAAAAAATCTGTGACATGTATTAGCACAAAATTAATGAAGACAGAAGTATTTATCAAAATATTAGATTTCTGAAAAATCTAAATGTATACAAAAGGTATATAAAAAAACCATAAACGTTTCGTCTAAAACACTTTTAGACACCTCAATCGATAAGAATCAAATTGATAAAGATCAAGCGTTATAGTTTTGAGGGGATGTATCATGAATGTATCTTGAATCAGAGACTGGATAAACATAAAAGAATATGGGTCTTGTATTTAACAATATATTTCAAGAAGAATTGAATTGGTTTCGGACAGTTATGACAGATGATCTTTCATCAAGATTTTAAAAAAGACGACATGAAATATACACAACGTCAAACCTAATGAGAATTTTCGAATCGAGATATCGATCATTCAATTTATTTCAGGCAGCAATTCAAGCCTGCAAAGAGATTTTGAAGAGACTTGAACCGATAAGAAAAGAAATGACAAATCCGACATGGAAGGATCTCGTTTTCACAGCATATAAAAAAGACATTGATTTATGCGCACGTTACATGTAAGAATCATTAAGTCATATTTGAAATGTCAATGATATCATACAAACTTGTCATAAAGCACTTCAAAACATTTTTCTAAAGATATTGTACATTCATTCGGAAGAAACAATTGCCATCACAATCTATTATTTGAAATAAATAATAGATTGTGAAAAAATGCAGTTTAAATATTTCAATCGCATTTCTCATAATTACAGAAGTAAGCATATTTACCATTTATATGTGTCTTCAATACAATTTTGATAAATAAAGAGATTAAAATTTTATATTTATAAAATGGCAGATGTATCTTGATATTAAAGGAATCATTATTTATTGTACATAACTTATCTCTTGGCAGGGTCAAGGCAATAGATGACATGAAGCCTTACACCATTTATGGTGTCACCATTGCCGAAGTAGAGATCGATGAATTGACCGGCGAGCATATTATCAGAAGAGTTGACTTGATGGAAGATGCCGGTGTAAGTCTGAATCCGAAAATCGACGTCGGCCAGGTGGAGGGAGCTTTCGTGATGGGACTAGGATATTGGACTTTTGAGGATCTGGTGTACGATACTAAAACAGGAGTATTAACGAATGACAGAACTTGGGTACGTTATCTTCATCTTTCGATACATCTGTTATCACCAAGACACAACTGCTTCACCGAGAGAGAGATTCCTGAAAATAATTAATTTATTTAAAGTATTCGACTCTTCCTCACAGAATTATAAATCACCAGGAGCGAAGGATATTCCTGAAGATTTCCGCATATATTTATGCAAAAACTCGGTCAACCAATTCGGTATGTTTGGTTCAAAAGGTGAGATTGAAATCCTTTCATTTAAACTACTATTTACTATTAAAAATAAAACTTAAATATTTTCTATATATTTTTTTGTGTGCAAATGAGTCGATGAGAGCAGCAAGAAGACAAATCACATTTATCAAATTTTTTAATACTAACAAAAAATGTTCAATTATAGTTTCAATGAAAACACTAGTAAAATTAGATCCGGAATTTAAATATGACATTCTACAATATTTGTAAAACATTCCTGATTCCTGAAACATTCGTCCGAAATAAGAATCATAAATTTCAAATTCGCATTCAAATTGCACCCTATCTATAAAAAAAAATTAAAAATTTTATAGAATGCTATTATGCTTCATTTATCTTAAATTATGTTAAACAATAATTATCTCTTTTCAAATTAAATAATATAAGATAATTTACAAAAGACAACTTCGAATACACTTGACTTAAAACACTGACAATTATTTCTGTTGACTATTCTTCAAAGATTAGTCGTTGGTCAATCGAAAATTTCATCAAAAAAGATTTGACATTTCGACAAGTTGCATTCTATTTTATTAAATTTTAAATTTTACTAATGTTAAATTCAAGCTTTTTCTGTACTCATAGCTCATTTTCAACATCTACTTTATGCCTTAAAAATCTAAGACAGATACATTTGCATATAAAACGTAACTCCCATTTCAAGATAAATGAGAAGAAGAACTTTTTTTCGAACGAAATTGGATTTATCTTTCGGTATTTAACGATTTAATTGAAGAAATCGTAGAAATTTTTTTGAAAAAGATTCAAACCCGTAAAAATTTAATCAATTTAAAAATGTATACTGATGTGTAAAATTTCTAACTTAATTTAAAAAAACTGTATCATTTAAAAAAATTTAATTATAATTTTAATAAATCCACGTTAACCATATAAAAATTAGAAACATTAAAGAGTCGATTGCTGATTAATTGTGAAATATGTATCTTTGTAGCAACCGGTGAATCACCGCTTTGTATGAGTTGCGTAATTCCGATAGCGATCCGCAAAGCACTGAATTCCGCTAGAGCGGATGCAGGGAATATGGATGAGTGGTACCGACTGGGTAAATTTTAAAAAGAAATATATTTGTGTCCTTGTGATAATTTAACGTACAATAATTACTTAATACATACTTCAAAAATTTTCTTCCTGCAGTTAGAATACATAAGCATACTTACTTATAAAATATTATTGTAATAAAGCATAAATATTATACAATATACATAAACATATAATTCGTGATGTTTGCAGATGGACCGTGTACTACGGAACGTATACTTCTAACTAGTTTAACCAGCAAAGACAACATGGTGCTTTGATAATGAAAACCGCTTGCTAATAAATCGAAATTTAAAATAAATACTATAATAGAGTTGTCATTTTAATTGCTGTATCTGAAATAAATTCAAAAATTTTGTATATATAAGAATACATGTACACAGTATAAGGAGAGTGTTTTATAATATGTGGACATACATTCAAAAATAAATTTAAGGCACAATAGATCCATACAGACATCTGTCCTACTTGACATTGTTTATCATTTACAAACGTTTTCGTACATCATTGCGAACTAAATTGGGGTCCAAAGACAGTGTTTATTGGTAGTCAGTAAGAAGACGCGTGAACGTGAGAACGTGTAGTTGCATTACTGGAATTATAACGAGAATTAGTGAAACACGTACGAATACATAAAAATTTTAAATTATTTTTAAGTTCTGAATTCATTTCTGATATTATGCACAGCACTATACAACAGTCTGTGTAAAAAAAATATATATATACACATATATATAAATATATAAAAAAATTAGAAATTCAAATAAAAAATATTCCTCCTTATTTGCTAATCGCAATTTCATGCAAAATATTTTTACTAAAATTTTTCTTTAATAATATGTGCGAAATTTACGTTATTTATATATTAATGTAAATGTGCTTGTTTCACACACATTTTCATAAATGTGAGTACATTTTTAAACACTACGGATTCGCGCGTAGTTATATTGAAAACATTATACAAACTTTACATCACGGCGACATATTTATGCACAGAATAACACTGCTGCATAATTATTAACTACCAGTAAAAGAAATTGTAGTATCAATCCTGGCGAAAATTTTTCTCAGAATTTTTCATATAATTTTTCAGAATTTCTATATAAATTTATAACTTTCTCATATTTCTTGTACGAATTGGAACAGTTTTCAGAAAATCTACTTCTTGTTTCAGAATTTTTCATATATGTTGCTAATGAAATATCGTTAGATTTCTTGAAGTTTTTGTAAGTATAATTTCTGATAAGTACCCCATGCATAGAAATCTAATGGCGTTAAGTCGGGCGAACGAGTTGCCCAATGTACTGCTCCTCCACGTCCAATCCATCGTTGTGGGAATTTTCTATCTAACCAGGTTCTAGCGACTCTGCTGTAATGAGCAGGGCATCCATCTAATTGAAACCACATTTCAGTACGTTGTTGTAATGGGATGTTTTCTAAATAGTCAGAAAATTCATTCTCCAAGAAATTTAGAAAACGGTCCCCATTTAATCTTGCAGGTAAAAAAAACATTTTTTTTCGATTTCTCTGAAACGGAGCAAAAACGAGCATATGTCTATAGGACTTTTTTTCTTAGTTTTTTACTCCTCTACACGCTCCCGAAGTTTTGCGATTTAATTTGGAAACACCCTGTATATAGATTTGCATTAAGAAGGACATTATAACGTTATCCTATCCAATATTGTTTAGTTCCAGCAACGTCATTGTTCAATTTACAATTAATGGAATACTATACATGGGTATGTATTGTTTGTTCGGAATGTGTAATTATATAAGGAAATAACAATTTCCAATTATATTATTAAAAACCCATAGAATAGAACGTAAAGGAATCCTAATGATTCAAATATATTATAAAAATCTAATCAGGAACTATGACATACTTATCTACTATATGGTTACAGAATCCATCACATTTAAGAATTTATGATATAAAAAGAATTACATAGAAAGTATAAAATATGATTTTAGAATTCTAATTATATGACTGACAAGAGTTTTAGAAATAAAATATAATTAAGTATGTTAGACAGGAACTTTATGAATCGACTATATATAATTATAAAATCACTTCCAGTATCCGATGATAGTTTACCCATTAGAACGTCTCTCCTTTCCTATATCCGCGAATATGTGGGTCTCCGAGGTACAAAAGCGATGTGTCACGAGGGTGGATGCGGTGCCTGTATCGTAAATGTAAGATCCCGAAATAAAGTAATAGCCGTGAATTCCTGTCTTGTACCGGTACTGATCTGCCAAGGGTACGTATGCAATAAAGAGAAACTAAACAATCAAACTTATTATTTCTAAAAAAATAAAAGGCGAAATGTGGACATTACGCATGCTCACAAAACTATCCTCTTCAACAAAAGAAATTAGTCATCGAAATGTTAAAATCTCTTTTTCTTACATTTATATTTATTTATTTCGTTTTCATATCAATTTTTTAATTTCTGAGTATACCAAGTATATATGTTAATATTAACTATTAATACGTATCGTATAATGTCACAGATGGAATATTTTCACGATTGAAAGTCTAGGTAACCACAAAAAAGGTTATCATTCGATTCAAGCTATGCTTGCTGATAAAAATGGCTCGCAATGTGGATATTGCTCTCCTGGCATGGTGATGAATATGTACAGGTACGAATTATTAAAATTGCTAATTAATTTTTAATGTTAATGAAAGATTGTTATATTTTAGACACATATTACATTTCCTTCTTTCATGATAAAATCCTCCTTTCTTTCGGAATTGTTCGGTGTTGAAATAAAGTACATACAAAAAAATACCCTTAAAACATACATTAATAAATGAACCCCTATAATTATAATTATTCAATAGTAAACGAACACATAGAAAATTAAAATCACGCATAAAATCGAAGAATACTGCTATGTACGGTTCAAGTAGGAATATCATTTAAATAGATATTATTGAAAGTTTGTATAGCTAAAACTTTGAGTTAACGCATTGTTGTACATATTTCGTAGTCTCATGCTTAAGAGCTCGCGTATATCTATGGAACAGATCGAAAATTCATTTGGTGGCAATATTTGTCGATGCACCGGATATCGTGCAATCTTGGATGCGTTCAAGGGATTTGCCACCGATGCAAAATTTAATCCTTATTTTCGAAATTACGTTTTCAGTTTCAGTTTTTCTCACAAGTACAATTTGATTTTGTTATTTAGAGAAATAAGGATTATTTTTACTCGTTATTATAATAACTTTTTTCATATTGTTTTCATCCTGTTGTAAATATAATGAAATATACTTCGTAGGAGTTACACAAGATTAAACCTTGCCGGAAATATGGAATGCCATGTGTACGTAGTTGCTACGATAAGCAACCTTCCGATGAAAAAAGAATGTTGAGCGTAAAGTTAAAAGACGGACACTTCTACAGAACTTTCTCAATCGAAAACCTATTTCTGATATTAAAAGCGAACCCACTCGGCACGTATACATTAAATGGGGGAAATACTGCGAATGGTAATTTTTCTGTATTAGATGAAATAGACTCTAAGTAATATATATATTTTTATATAAAAAGTCTCCTCGCTCTCATATTAATTGTATAAAAAATTGTGTCTCAGTAAAATGAGTTGGTTTTCTAATACGTTGTAGATTTCAATGATGAAATAGAAGGTGGTGAATAGAAGATGTTATGATCAAAAGGTTCAATAATGGATAACTTTTTATTTATGATGTATCAAAGATGCAAAATTTGTGCTCGCATGGTATTTTTAATACATAATAGCAAACGAACCATTCATTATTGGAGTTAATGCATTGTTATGTATATATAACATACTTTGTGTGGTGTTCTTTATATTATAAGCTACTATAATACATGTGAAAACCAACTTATTGCATTTATTATACATGTAGTAAATTGTGAGACACATTGTCGAACAAAATTTAAAATTTTTTTGCAACACGATTACGAATAGTCATTTCCGACGTATACTTGCGTGCTAAACACTAATGCGTTAATAAAAGTTGACTATCACGTTACAATTTCGAGAAAAATAGCGTCAAAGGGAATTTAATATTTTGTCCATTTAAAGCCATTTTTTCAAAACAGTGATGTGATATAGTCAATTATTGTCAACGGATTCGTGTTCAGCAAGCAAGAATACGTTGGAAATAACTATTCATTCGAGTTGCAAAAAAAGATCAAATTTTGTTGGACAGGTTGTTACATAAGGAGGAATACGACTATATTCAAATTGCTATATCTCGTAAACAAAAGATCATACCGAAATGAACCAAAATGAATTTCAAAGCTAAAAATTGATAATGCTATGTAGCATTAATGAAATTAAGCAAAAATATTAGTTGTCGGTATTACAACGTTTTAAAGCCTCTTAAAATCATCGTTCGATCAATTTTTCTCATGACGTGTTATCCAATTTTTGTCAATGAGTGTGTTCAGCAAGTAAAAATATATTAGAAATGACTATTCACACTTGTGTTACAAAATGGCTGTTGGGTAGTGTAATTAGTGTGGCATTTTTTATATGAAATATTCATAATAATTATTATTCTTTATTTACTTGGGTAGACATCAAAATTGATCTAAGCATCTGAATAATATTATTAAAGTACACATGCATTACAAAGCATTTTTGATACTGAATTTACAACATATTTATAAGTACGGATAAATACTTTTTCTCATAAAAATAATATTCTATTATAAAGAAACAAATTCTGTGATAAAATAAAAATATACATGATTTTGTCTTTTAATTAAAAAATCTATATATAGATTTCATTTTCGTTACTTATACTTTAATAACTATCCAGTAAACGAGAATGGATTGAAATGGATTCAGATTTTCAGAAATATAGATTCACGAATGTTAAAATGAATGCTTTTCAATCCTGAATGCATTTTTATTCATTTATAAGAATTGCATGGAGCATATCAGAGCATATCTCTATGGCTTTCAATCTAAAGATAATATCAGCTTTCTCTGTGCATTGTGAATACTGTTCAATTCAAAATTTTGAATAGGAAATGCAGTTTTTCAATCCAATGTATATTAAAATACAGTTTTGTTAATATTTCTCAGAAACTTTAATAACTTTTCATGACACCAATCAAGGTTTAGCATAATTATAAAAATACAAAAGCTTCAATAATTCCAATTATATTCTTCAATGTCACATTCGACATAATTATTATTACTCACGTTAAATTAAATATATAAGTAAGATATATATTTATATACGTATATAATTCTGTGGAAATTTAATTTTGCAGGAGTTTATCGTTCGAGTATAAAAGATATGTATATTGATATAAACTACATTCAAGAATTGCGTAACATTGAAAAAACCGATAGCACTTTAGTCCTAGGAGGAAGTATAACTCTTACCGTGGCTCTACAGACATTCCAAAAATATTCAAACGACATCGGATTTAAATATCTTAGTCAGTTGGCCCAGTATGTAGAAATGATTGCAAACGTTCCCGTGCGAAATATTGCCACCATAGCCGGGAATTTGATGCTGAAATGTCAGCACAAAGAGTTCCCATCCGATTTGTTTTTAATGTTAGAGACTGTCGGTGCTCAAGTACACGTCTTGGAAAGTCCCTCTCAAAAGAAAAATTTGTATCTGTGGGAATTGCTGAAGCTCGATATGCACCATAAAATTATTTATAGCATTGTGTTACCATCGATAGACGATAACATGTATATATGCAGATTTTACAAGATCATGTCTAGAGCCCAGAACGCTTACACTCACGTCAATGCTGGCTTCCTCTTCAAACTCAACAGCGACGGCGAGGTAACGGAATCTTTACGAGTTGTTTATGTTATTTTATCATTAATTACTCACTCATATTTTAATTTGCTTCAAATTTTATTTGTTGATATTTACAATATTTTTTAAAAAGGTATTAGAGTTGCCTAATATTATCTTTGGTGGCATCGGTAAGCATTTTCTGCACGCAAAAAGAACGGAGAAAGTTTTGGTGGGTAAATGTATCATCAAGCATCCACTTTCAACGGTGAAGGAAGGCTTGAATACGTTGCATAGCGAAATGTATCCTAATCATGAGCTGCCAGATTATTCACCGAAATTTCGCAAGATTCTCGCAGAAGGATTGCTTTATAGATTTATGTTAAGCATCAAACCTGAGAATATAAATTCTTTTTATCGTAGTGGCTGCTTTTTATTAGAACGAGGTCTCTCATCAGGTACATATAACCGTCAGATATCCAGAACGTTTATGAAAATATATATCCATTATAAATATTTATCGCGGTTCATGCAAATAATATACTTATAAGGCGGTAAGATATACATTATATATAGATTGCAAGCAATTAGAATGTACTGATGAATGAAGTTAATCGTTTCGATTCGGGATTTGAGATCTCTTCAGTATGGAAGTCAAGTACAACATGTAAAAGAGAACTCGGATCCAGAGTGAATACATAAGCTGTCAACATGGGGAGGACACAGTTAGCTTACAAATTGATTGTTTACAGCATCATTTGCCTGCATTTTATTTGCTTACAGATGGATTGCCTATAAGTACTATTTTCTACTTCAAAAACGCTAATTTTATTTGTGCACAAAAGTGCAGGTACGCAATTGAGTTTTAGGCAAATGAGATGTAGACGAACGTTGCGGTAGGCAATCAAATTGTAGGCAAATGGAGCTCTCTCTTAATATTGTTAGTAAGCACATTCCAATTATTTGCAAAATATATCTTATCTCTCTCATTATAAATCTACTATTATTATTATATTAATATAATTGATTAAACTGACAATTACGAAGGTTTATGTAGGTATTTTACTTACATTGCAGATATTTTGATTTACACTTAATGGAAAAAGACTTTCCTACTTTTATTTAAGATATTTTCTTAATTATATTGATGGTTTTGACATATTAAGAAAAAGATTTCTTTAAATTTAAAATCGACATTGGAAATAGTTTAACCAAATCGAGTCTTCAAATTAAGAAATGGAATTGATTACTTTCAAGATAAATTCTTGGGATCAAACTTCAATCGAAATAGTTTTCATATGAAATTAAATTGTTTCAATAAAATAAACGTAAATAGGATTTTTATGTCCAAATAAATTTTTCTCTCTCTGTGTGCATCAGAGGAATAGAAGAATATGGTCGTTTTAAATTGATTTATGTATTGAAAAACTCATTATGTATGAATAATTGTCCGAAATTGTGCATACAAGAAAAATATAATCATTTTAGGACAGCAAAACTACTTTACGAATAAGGATTTGTGGCCAGTAAATAAGCCTATGTCAAAATTAGAATCTCTTAATCAGACATCAGGCGAAGCCCAATATTGCGATGATCTGCTTCCATTTCCTAGAGAAGTATTTTGCGCTTTTGTCGTCACAACTGTCGGCAATGGTCAGATCCGTGAAATTGATGCGAGCAAGGCTCTTGAAAAGAAGGGTGTAGTGGCGTTTTTCAGAGCCCAAGACATACCAGGAAAGAATCTATGTATTTCGTCCGCCAGCAAGTTGATGTTCTTGCCAGAGGATGAGTTACTGTTCGCCGAAAAGGATGTTTTGTATGCTGGCCAACCGATCGGCGTAATTGTCGCGGATACCCATGATGTGGCGAATGAAGCTGCAAAATTGGTAGAAATTACATATAGCGAACGTGTGAAAAGTTCGGTGATAAGTATTGAGGATGCTCTTGATTCGGGTGACGAAACTAGAATTAGACAGAGCGTGAATATTCCAGCACAGAGGAAAGGTAGAAATTGATAAAAACGACATTTAATAACATTTTTCGTTTTAATTATAATCACCAGAAAAAATAGCAGTAAATGTATGTTTCAAGTGTTGCAAAAAAATGAAATCTGCATCATTTACAAACTTGTGAAATAGTATATGTAGGAGAGAATGGTCTAAATCGGACTATGTTTCAAATGAGACCTTTTTAATTTAAATGAACACGGTTAAGCAGATTTACGTACTATTTATAATGTAAAGTCCTTATAAGATACCGAATACGCGATAGCAGTTCTCTGTCATAACATTCATAGAATAGACGCAAATATGTATTTTTAGCTATCGTGTGAAAATTTTTTTAAAAAAGGAAATCCTTGTAAATTATCATTTAAAAGGTTAAAAATTTGAAAAGTAATTGTTTTAAGATAATTAAAGAGTGTAGAATTCGAAAATATCAAGCATTTTTTGATCATTTTTGCAGTTTATTGTAAAATTTGTTCCAAAGTTTGAAAAGACCCGTGTCCAAATCGGACAGTACAGTAAATAACTTATAGGCCTGGTTGTAGTACTGGTGATCGGCTGACCAGATCTGGTCCAAGGAATTAAATCAGTAAAATATCATGAGTCATCAGACTCAGATTAATTGAATTTTATTTATTTCAATTCTAATAATATAAACTGTTGTGTTAGTAATTTTTTTACTGAATAAAATTTTTATTTTTATGTGTCAAATTGCTCGTTTTAACTCAATATTAACAAAAATACATTAAAATATTTTAAAATTCTATCTAAAAGTCTATAAAAATAGGAGTGTTCGATTTGAATCAGGGGATAGTCCGATTTGGAACCACTCGTTCCAAAACGGACCGAAAAAAGCGTTTTTACATTTTCCATTATAGTTCCACACAGGTGAGAGATACGTCAAAATGATCTAAAGTAAAAATGAAGGGAATTAAATGATTTTTTCAAAGGCATCTTCGGTTTTACGATCGGACTTTATTTACGCCTTATAGAGAGCAAAAACTGCAAATAGGTCCGATTTAGGCCACTCTCTTCTACTGATACTAATTATTAAAAATGTCAATCATTCAATTTAGGGAAGTCATCTCCAACGACTTGATGTTGACATATATTATCAAGAGCAGTCTGATGAATGGCCTTCAGTCGTTAATCGTTAAAAATGCTTAATAATAAAAGATTGAAGCTTAAATACGAAGAATAAATATTTTTAGTATAGAATAAATATTTTGAACAGAGAATTTAGATAGGGAATTAATACTTTAGAAATAAAAAAATAATATACGTTGTGTGTGTGTGTGTGTGTGTGTGTGTGGTGAGTGATTAAGAATATAGGTTTTTATTATTTTATAGGAAACGATATTGAACATGTGCTAAAAGGCGTCTTTCAATGCAGTAGCCAATATCACTATACTCTAGAAGCTCAATCCTGTGTATGCGTTCCTGTGGAGGGTGGTATGGATGTCTATCCGTCATCACAATGGATGGATCTCATTCAAGTATCGATCGCGAATTGTCTTAATGTTCAGAATAATAGGTAACTCATTAATCTATTTAATCAAGCTCATCTATATATCGAAGTAATTATATCAGTCCAATTGTTATACTACAATTTACACTGTAACAGCATGTAAAATTATGTCAATTATAGTGGGATAATTTTGAGATCCATTATTAAAGGCGTACTCTCATAAGTCAAAGTTAAAAATAAAATTATTCTCGTTTATAGTAGTCAAACAACTTGTAAAATTAAAAAATTACAATTGCAGTTAAATTTATACGTAATAATTTACCAACAAATTATCAGAGAATAGCAAGTTATTTTTAAAATGTAATGAGTTACAATTACTAAGTTAAAAAAGTAATAATTTATCGTTATTAGATACTGATTTTTAAAAGTAACTCTTTATAATTACCGTTATTTAAAAAGTAACTATTCGTCACTTTTCCGTTATATTTTTAAAATTATTTCTAAAATAATTTCTAATATAAAATCAGTTTTAAAAAATGCAATTTTCCAACATTTTTTGTTTAAATGATAATAAGAGCAATATATAACAATGTTACTAATGATATTTTCAGTTTCTTCCTAAAAACATAATTTCGTAATTCTGAAGCACGTAAAATATGCGGCAAACTGAGATATTATCTGTCCGATATGTTGCGTAGAAGTGCAAAATAATTTCTGAAATAATGGTATTTCTTTCATCTGTCAAAAATCGCCACTGCAGCAATTGACAGCCAAGTATTTCAGAAAGTATTATATTTTATATTCCTACATGACATAGATATCACACAGATATCTCAGTTTGCCACATATTTTATAGGTTTCAGGATGAAATTATTATATCTTCAAAGAAAAGCTAAAGAAATAAAGCTTTATTTAGCAAGTAATTTATTATATCAATTATATGAAATTTCTCTCTCACATCGTTGCGAAAGAGCCAAACCTTAATATTTGAGTGAATACAATACGTATTGAATTCTACAATCTATACAAGCTATAATTAAATTTTCAATCTTGAAACTCCATCCGGCTGATATTTTTCGCAATAAATTTCTCACAGCACTTTATGTAAAACACTTATTGTAAAACAGAGCTAATTATTATCAATAATAATAAACACATGATGAAATCGGGAAATTAAAAAAAAAGTTACTTCAAGTAAAAAAATTGAAATTATATATTTAATATACAATGTGAACTAAGTTAGAAGTTATAATTTTTTAATATATATATATATATATAAAAAGAATAAAATTAAATAAGCAATAAGTAAATCAAAATAAGATTGTAAAATGCATTTTGTAAAATAATTAGAATCAATTGTGTGAATATAATTTTTCTAGCATTAATGTGCATGTCAGACGTCTTGGCGGTTCGTACGGATCAAAAATCTCACGCAATGCACAAATTTCATGTGCTTGCGCATTGGTATGTCATACACTGAACCGTCCAGCGCGATTCATCATGACAATGGAGAGTAATATGCAGTCAATAGGCAAGAGAAGTTCCGCGCGTCAAGAATATGAGATCGTTGTAAACAACAACGGAATTATACAGTATTTCAAATCAAATCAATGGAGTAACTGCGGTTCTAGTTTCAACGAACCACAAGCTGAATTAGTAGCTTTTTACATGCAAAAGTATTGAAATATAATATATAATATAAACAAAAATTTAAGAAATTTATAACAATAATATATAATATTAGGACACTTCTGTAATATTAAAATTTGTCCATTGCATTTTCTATGCACAATATTTTAAAATAGAGTGGCAAATTTTTAATCAGAGATAAGTAATTAAACTATTTTCATCTTATTTAAAACAAAATTTTGAAATACATTCAAAAAAGGAAAAATATAATACTAATATTAATAAAAAAAATTACTTCAATTAACTGTGATAAAATAAATTTCAATAAATAACTAGATCAAATTTGAAAACACTCTATCGTGATTAATCATTCATTTTTAATTCAATACACTCACAAATGATCTTTTATCGTTAGAAGCTGCTATTTAACCGATACTTGGAAGTTGAACGGATTTAACGTGAGGACCGATTTACCGTCAAACACATTTTGCCGAGGATCAGGATCTACAGAAGCAGTGGCAATAATGGAAAATATAATGGAACACATTGCAAATGTGACGAATATGGATCCAATTGAGGTCAGATTGACAAATATGAATGATGTGGATAAATCCGTATTAGAAACCATGATAAAAGATTTGTTAAATTTGACCAATTACAACTGGAACAAGAAATCCATTCATGATTTTAATTTGCACAATCGCTGGAAGAAAAAGGGAATTGCCATGGTACCGATAAAACACTTGATAACGTACGAAGAGCAATTCGAGGCGATTGTGTCGATCTGCGCTCGCGATGGTTCGGTATGCGTGACGCATAGCGGAATTGAGATCGATCAAGGTATAAATACGAAGGTATGAAAATGCAGTGATTTATTCGAGCAAGTTCTTTCATGCTTTTCATTATCAATAAATTAATGGAAATTTGTATTAACAAGTTTTATTCTTTTGAAATTAATTTTCCATTTTGGAAAATTAGAATCGAAAACTGTGACGTTTTAGATTTCTAGACTTTTATCGCTTATTATTCTGTATACATATTTTCTATATCGTTAATACAGATTAATTATCTTATAAATTTATTGAAATTGGAAAAGGTTCGATTTAGTATGTAAGATGATTTACATTTCTGCTGATATAAAATTAATTCTTGTACACCAGATTGCTCAAATAACGGCTCGTATACTGGATATTGATATCAAATCAATTTCCGTTAAACAAAGCAATAATTTAGCGGCACCAAATGTGTCGGCTACAGGGCACAGCATTACCACAGAATCCTGTGAATTCGTAAGAATTTAATCTGTCTCCATCACTGTGGAAGACGATATCATATATATATATATATATTTATTTAATGAAAAACTTGATGATATATCGAGTATTGCATTTATTTCAGGCAACGGTCGAAGCTTGCACACAGATTTTAAAAAAGCTCGACCCGATAAAACAAAAAATGAAAAATCCGACGTGGAAGGATCTCATTTTTAAAGCGTATGAAGAAAATGTTAATTTATACGCACGTTACACGTAAATGTCATTAAATCATATTTGACACTTCAGTGATATATAGATATCATACAATGTCATAAAGCACAAATTTTTGAAAATATTATACTTCCATTAGGAAGAAACATTTATCTTATCTTTCGCTTAAAACAAGTTATGCAGTATAAAAAATATAGTTTAAAGAAACGATTTGCATTTTTTATAATTAGTATTAAACGTATTAACCATGTGCTTTTGGAATGATTTCAAAATCGATTTAAACTTTGTATTTATAAAATAGGAAAAGATTTCTAGATGCTACATACATTATTAATTATTATACAATACATTCCATTTATTTTGGCAGGTTGATGACTGGGCCAACGGAAGATAAGATAAAGTCTTACGCCGTTTACGGTGTTACTGCTGCCGAAGTCGAGATCGATTTGTTGACCGGCCAGCATATTATTAGAAGAGTTGATATAATGATCGATGCTGGTCTAAGTGTAAATCCGGAAATTGACATTGGTCAAATAGAGGGAGCTTTCGTGATGGGAATAGGATACTGGACTTCTGAGGATCTGGTGTATCATCCTTATACAGGAGAATTAATTAATAACAGAACGTGGGTATGTTGTCTTTATCAAATTTTGTTACACCTAATATCGCTAAAACTATTTCGATTCATCGAGACTGCGTTCCGTTCCACGCATAATGCGCATAATAGGTATATCATTTTATCCTTGTTTAACACTCTGCGAACAAAAAGAATAAAATGGTACTTCATGCTCATTATGTGTGCAACGGATCGCAACGCGAGATTGTCCTAAAAAAATACATAATTAAATTATCTAAATTATTTGATTATTTTCATAGAATTACAAACCACCAGGAGCGAAAGATATTCCCGAAGATTTTCGCGTACACTTATATAAAAACTCAGACAACAAAGTCGGTATCTACGGTTCAAAAGGTAAAATCAAAACCGTTTTATTCAAACCACTTTTTACTATAAAATATAAAATCTCGAATATTTTTTACACGTTTGCATAAAATTTAAGAATTCCTGAAAATTCGTTTAGAAAAATTTTCACACTCACAAAGATTTAATCGATTTAAGCGCTTCAATAATTCATTTAATTTAAATAAGATGAATAAAATAAGAAAAATTAAAAAATAAAAGAATAACTTTGTTTAGGGTATCCGAATTAGAAATATTAAAAGATGGATTTCTGATTAACCCTGAAAATATGTTTGCAGCAATCGATGAAGCATCGCTTTGTATGAGTTACGTAATTCCAATAGCATTTCGCTACGCATTGAATTCCGCTAGAGTAGAGGCAGGGAAGAAGGAAGAGTGGTATCAATTAGGTAAGTTTTATTCAGAAATATAATATTATATATTCATCTCTATGACAATTTAATATACAAATCCAATAGGCTAATTTTATGATTTGTATTAATTTTTACAGTTTTTGCAACAATTACTAATTGTTCAATCACCATTGAACTTTATTGTCGTGCTTATAAATATTTTTCTTTTTTAATTTTTTTAATCCTTTAATAATCTGATTTTTTATCTCCTTTTTTTCTCTTTAAAACGAAATGAATGAGACAACAATTTAAAGAAAAGTGTTGTCGAATTTTATGATCTCATATCCTTTTAATCGGTTTTTCTAAAACTATTACATTAATAATACCATATTCATATAAATCATGATTAACGGTAGATATATATTACCCAAAGTCGGACACACATAGAACAAATATTTAAATTTTATAATAAAATAACTAAAAATATATTAGTCTACGCGCGTAATTAAATATGTGATTCATAGTTTCCTCTATAATTCTTTCTTATATACTCTCACGCAGAAGACGGGCCACTAATTTTTAACATAAATTTTTAATATTTTCAAGTAGCGATATTTCATTGAAAAATCATCATAGCGAGATAAATCAAAGTTCAAATTAATGCTTGAACATTCCTCTTGACAACCATGAAGAACAAATTTGAATTATACAAAGTGTATTACAAAATGGCGGACATTGAAAATGAATATTGAAAACTAAGAAAAAATTTTCTTATTCAAACTATAGCGTTGCTCAGGCAAGATTTGAAATTCAAACTTTAATTTCCTTTTTGTAAAATTTTCTATAATAATTTGTTTCTGAGTTGTTAAAAAGCCCTCTAAATAATTTAATTAAAGAAATTAGGGATTTGCTCACAAAATGGAAAAAGAGTAAGTTTATATCAGAACAAACATACAAGAAAATTTATCGCAGTGATGAAAATTTGCCCGGAGCTTACGGCCTCGCTAAAGTTCACAAACCAGGAGTTCCATTCAGAATCATAATATCATCGTTAGTCTTTTGTACACTAGTAACGTTCTTACATGACATAATTTCAAAAAAATGTGAATAAACCTTTCAGCAATGTAGAGAATTTCCAACTTATAAGAAAATTGAAAGGCATACACGTGAGAAATGATTTTACTTTAATTTCTTTGGATGTGATCTCTTTGTTTACGAACATCCCGATTGACCTAGCTGTAGATAGTGTAGCCAATGCAGATGGAAGTACTTTAAGAATAAAATAAATATCCCAACAGATAAATTTTTACAAGTATAGTGACATTAGTATTAAATTTGATATTTTAATGGGGAATATTATAAACAGAAATTTGATACTTCTATGGAATTCCTACTTTCTCCGATCATTGCAGATCTGATTTTACAAAACTTAGAAACTTGGCTCTCAAGACTATTGGATTACAATTACTATTTTATCTGAGATACATAAATGACATAGTATTGGCAGCATCTTCTAACTTAATAGATGACATATTAAAAACTTTTAACTCGTTTCATAATAGATTTCAATAAAAGATGGAGGTGAAAGAATAAACTTTTTAGACGTGACAATTAAAGGCAACAACAACTTAGAATTTAACTGGTATCATAAACCCACGTTCTCAGAACGAGATACCTCAATTATTTATCTTCACACCCCATTTCTCAGAAAGAAGGTACAGCGATACGAATGATTGACAGAGTTATATTACTCTCAAATTTTAAATTCCATGACAAGAATGTTAGGCTTGTAATTCATACTCTTTTAAGAAACGACTATCCTGCAGATTTTATTTTTAATACCATTAACACTAGACTAAAATTTTTGTTTCTCAAACTTGCTTAGAACAGGAAAATATTAATAACCCTAGTAGCACAATTCATCGACGTAACATTGGCCCAACATATCCCCGATGTATGTCAATGTTTAACCAATGTTTCGCCAATGAATTGTGCTGCTCGAGAATAGTGTGAAGGAGGATAACGAGCGAGTACCATGGTTTGTAATACTGTATTCTTCATCAACCGAGATTAAATTCAAAATGTTTGTAAGAAAAAAAATTTGAAACTATCCTATTACAATAATAACAAACTCAATAAATTCATTAGAGTACATAAAGATAAGCTCCCAAAAAAATGCAAATAAAAATGTAGTTTATAAGATTTACTGTAGGGATTGCGATGCATCCTACGTAGGGCAGAAGAGCAGGAAAGTTAGCACTAGAATATCCGAATATCGAAATCACTAACTGGAATACACAAAACCGGTAATCACGGACCATAGATTGAATTTCAACCATGAATTTAATTGGGAGAATATTAAGATACTTGACGCAGAAGTTTCTTTAAACAAACGATTGATTTCCGAAAAAGTGCACATACATATACAAAAAAATGGACTCAATCTGCTTTCTGATATAGAAGGACTACATCACGCTTATACTTCGATGATAAATAATTTCAAAAAATAGAACACCAACATGTCCGTTCGCAATTATTGTATACGCCTAAGATTTGTAACTTTCTGTTTTTGTATGTCGTTTATTTATGCTTGATATTCGTCTCGATTCTCGACCTTTATAAAATTTAAAATTAACGTCCGACACTCCGGACCAAGAATATCGTAATTAGTTCCGATACAATGACGAAACCTTATATTTATTGAATTCAAGAGTATCCAAAGCTTCGTAACATGCTTGGAGTCCGTTAAGGTGAGTTAACTCATCAATTACAGTAGAAATTCAATTCTCATAATTGATTTTGTATTAGCTTCAGACTCTGCACAGTTATCAAGGGAAATGTTCAAGCTTTAATTTGAGCTTTGGTTCATCTCGCTATAATGATTTTCCATTGAGATATCGCTACTCAAAGATATTAAAAATTTGTGTTTAAAATTACGTATATTCATATTTTCTTATAGAAAACTATCATAATAAAATAATGTTTTGATATACATATATTAATATACATATAATTGATAATGTTTGCAGATGGACCGTGTACCACCGAACGTATACTTCTAACTAGTTTAACCAGCAAAGATAAAATGTTGGTTTTTTAAGAGTGAAAGTGAAAAATGTTCTCAAACAATCCGGTGTATAAAATAAATTATTTGTATTCTGTTAGATGCCATTTAATTGCTATATAAATAGAATAACTTAAAAATTTTGTAAACTGAAAGACATATTTTTCGCATTCATGTTCTGTTGATGCGAAACTTTCATGATAATGATTGGATTATGATAATTCAACTAATTAATAGGCCTTTAAAATTGCTAAGACACATTTTCTCATTTATGCTAATTTTTCTCCATTAAACTTCTTTAACTTCATTAAATACTGAGCTGGGCTTTTAGTGATAATAAGAAGAAAGATAATATAAATATATTAAAAGTTAAGATAAGTGAGAAAAAGGTTTTAAAAATTTAGTTCGTTTTTTATATATAAGTTTGAAGGCTTCTTGATAGACAATGTTATAACAAAGAGAGTGATAAGTAATTCCAATTCTTAAGCAATTTTGTATTATTATACTTTATTGGTATATTACGAGAAAATATTAGGGGTTACATACTTTATATCGCCTTAAAATTATAAATAACGATATGCTCATTTCTTTTAAGTTAATAATTTCAATATTTGTTTTTATAAAGATTATAAATATTTTGTCATTAAAGATATAAAAGATATGAAAATAATTATGTTAATCTTTACTTTTTCGAATTGATGAAAAATGGTATGAAATTATTGTGTTATTTATGTGTGGTCTATTTTCTCGTACGTAAAATTTATCAACTGCACAGTACTATAAAAAATTTTTTAAATTAAAAAATTAAATCTGTAAAAAAATTAAATACTGTATAAAAATTAAACAATTAAATCTTATATTTTTCTCGTGTGAATGTACAAAATTAATAATTATTACAGATGTGTATAAGCAGATATCTCAAAGACGTCCATTTTGTATGTGTGTGTTTGCAATATTTACATTAAAAATATATGTGAGAAAAAGTAAAATATGGAACAAATGAAATTTATAGCAATATATATAATAATGGACTAATATGCAAAATTAAATAACATATGAATTGTTGCCACCAAATAGAAGAATAATATATTCTTTTCGGTGCTAAACATGCTATTCTTGTGCTGTTTTATTTGGTTAAAATATTCTCATCTATTATTTATCTCGTTATTTACGTCAAGTTTTATGTAGGAGAAAATACGTTAAACTTACAGCTATAGATACATAAGAATAAAACATTAATTGATTTGTAAATACTAATTTATAAATTTACGTAATACTATGAAATATTAAAATTTATTAAATTTCTTTGCTTCACTCTAAAATCCTATTGGAATTGTTTTTTGGCGTTGCAACAAAGTTGCATTGAAGAATATATATTCTTAAGAAAAGTTAATATATTAATAAATGAATTTCTTTGCTGTTACAATAATTATTGATCATTCAATAATAAACAAATAAATTGTAAAATCATGTGCAGTATCTACACAACATACATAGCTACTGAAAATATTTCTAAATTAAGTACATTATGTATTTGTACTCAAAAGCAAGAGATGTGAAAAGCAACATGAATGCATTTATCGTCCATCAGCGGAAAGAGTTTTTCATTAGTGAAAAAAAAAGAAAAATTATATAATCATGGAATATATAAATATTACAAAAAATACATATTGACGGTAAACACAACCATTTTAACTATACACTAATGTCACATAATAGCTACATCTAAAATATTCGCACGAAATTATTAATGTCATTAATGTCACATGAATGAAAATTAATCACATATTTTTTCTAACATCAAGTTATTGCGTATAATTAAATTAGCGATCGCTGATGAACCAAAAGTCAAAGATATAAGGAACGATCAAATAGTATAAAAATGTGATGATAAATGTTCTTCGGTTTTAGGCGAGAATAATTTGAAAACAGGCGGATTAAACAAAGCCTCATATTTGTTTTCAAGAGGCAATTACAATGTGAATGTCATGCAAACAGAAGTCAGACAATCATAATTTGCTATCTTTTTCTGTGAAAGGGTCAAATATTGTATGTTTGCAGATAAACAGTGTACTGTGACACAGAACGTATATTTTTAACCAGCACAGATGCATGACATGGTGATTTGATAGCACAAATGAAAACCGCTTAATAATAAACCAATATTTGAAATAAATTCTATAACTGAGTTGTCATTTTAATTGCTGTATACCTGAAATAAATTCAAAAATTTTATATATATAAGAATACATATACACAGTATAAGGAGGGTGTTTTATAATATGTGGACATACATTCAGAAATAAATTCAAGGCACAATAGATCCATACAGACATCTGTCCTACTTGACATTGTTTACCAGTTACAAACGTTTTCGTACATCATTGCGAACTAAACTGGGGTCCGATATGTCCAAAGAAAGTATTTACTGGTAGTCAGTAAGAAGACGCGTGAACGTGAAGACGTGTGATGACTTTACGCTGGCTAAAATTGTAACGAGAATTAGTGAAACACATACGGAAACTTTATAATTCGGAAATAAGGTTAAATAATACATATGTCTGCATGAAAATTTTGAATTATTTATACGTCCTGAATTCATTTATGATGTTATGCTCATCCAGGACATTATAAAATATTCGGTGTAAAAAATATTTGCTAATCAATTTCATGACAAATAACCTTCACTCAAATTTTTCTTTAATAATACGTGCAAAATTTATAATATTTTATATATTAATGTACATATGCTGACATTTTCAAAAATGTGATTTTTTCCACAACGATATTTCTGTGTATAGTATTGCATTGTTGCATATTTAATAAGTATACTAGAAAAAAATTGTAGTACACTCTATCATCGAATATCTAACCATTACCATTTTGACAATCTTTAGACAGCGCCCCTGTAGTTTCCTACAGACAGTGTTTTAATAAGTACTCCATATCTTTAGACGAAGGGTAATTCGACACGATCGATGAGTGAAAATGGAAACAACAAGAGTGTAAGTCTTTGACAAAAATTTATAACATGCGAAAACTATTGAAATGTAGGTACGATAAACACTCAAAATGAAATTTCGTTAATAATATTTGTTGAAAGAAGAGATCCAAAATCTCTTCTTTCAACAAAAAATATTTTATTGTTCTTTATTTATTTATATTATTGCCTAATATAAAACAAAAAAAATTTTTACAAAATATTATCTATATCTTCTTCATTAAAGATAACATTGTTTCCTAATTTAATATGTTTAGATCCAGCAACAACAAGATAAATTTTAAAATTAATGAAGTACCTTATTCGGGTATGTATTCTTTGTATGAAATGTGTAATTAAGTAAATGAAAAATTTTGTATTATATCATAAAAAGGTGAAATAACACAGATTATGACATAAAGAAGCCCCAGGTTCAAATATATTTAAAAAATATATCAGAAGCTATGACAATTATTTATTATACAGTGAAAATCCATAACGTTTAGTAGGAGAATTAATCATATAAACCGCATTATACAGAAATTATAAAACTTCATGATAGAACTGTGATTGAGAGCTTTAGAAATAAAAAATAATAATGTGTATGTTAAATGAGAACTTTGTCAGTCAATTTTAAAATTGTAAAATTGCTTCTAGTATCCGATGATAGTATACCCGTGGACACGACCCTCCTTGTCTTCATCCGCGAATATGCAAAATTTCGAGGTACAAAAGCGATGTGTTATGAAGGCGAATGCGGTGCCTGTATCGTCAGTGTAACATTCAAAGACAAAACAATAAGTGTAAATTCCTGTCTTGTACCGATACTGATCTGTGACGGGTATGTATGTATTAAAGAGAAACTAAACAATCAAACTTAATTTCTAATTGAAATCTTAATAATTTATGTAATGACATTATGAGCGTCCGCGAAACTCTCCTCTCCTACACAAGAAATTATTCATCAAAATGTTAAAATCTCTTTTTTTTACATTCATGTTTATTTATTTCATCTTTTATATTGAATTTTTTTATTTCTGAGTATACCGAGTATATGTCAATATTAATATCTCATATCATATAATATCGCAGATGGAATATTAACACGATTGAAGGTATAGGTAACAAGCGAGTCGGATACAATACGATTCAAGCTATACTTGCTAAAAAAAATGGCTCGCAATGTGGATATTGCTCTCCCGGCATGGTGATGAATATGTACAGGTATGAATTATTAAAATTGCTAATTAATTTTTAATGTTAAAGAAATATTATATTTCGGACATATTACTTTTCTTCCTTTATAATAAAATACTTTCGGAATTGTTGGGCGTTGAAACAAAGTCGCATTCAAAAAAGTACCCTTAAAAAAATTAACATACATATAAATATATTAGAAAAGAAATCCCTATTAACTGTAATTATCCCATAATAAAGAAACAAATTGTAACTTAAAATAACGCATAAACTCGTACAATACTGCTATAGTTCAAGTAAAAATAACAATTAAGTATAATTTAACGTTTGTAAAGTAAGAACTTTACATTATAATACATTGTTTTATATACTTTGCAGTCTCGGAAAGGGTTTGTCTATGCAGCAGATCGAAAATTCATTTGATGGCAACATTTGTCGATGCACCGGATATCGTGCAATTTTAGATGCGTTCAAAGGATTTGCCACCGATGCACCTCCATCAATGGTGAAGGACATTCGCGACATTGAGGTGCTTGTGTGAAGTTTTATTTTGATTTTAAAATTTAATCTTTATTATGAAATTACGTTTCCAATTTTATTTTATGCTCGGAGGAAACATTTCATTTTGTTATTACAGTAATGAGGATTATTTGACTGTTCCAACCCTTTTTATATTATTTTCATTCTGTCGTAAATATAATAAAATATGCTTCGCAGGAGTTATACAAGATCAAAGCTTGTCAAAAATATGGAATGCCATGTATACGTAGTTGTTACGATAAGCAATTTTCTGATAGAAACACAATGTTGAGCATAAAGTTAAAGGACGCACACTTCTACAAAGTTTACACGATCAAGGATTTATTTACGATATTTGAGGAAAACCCAAATGCAACGTATATATTAAATGGAGGAAATACTGCACATGGTAATCTTTTTGTATTAGATGGTATAGATATAGTAACAAATATATAGTATATATAGGAATATATATAGTATATTTATATATAGTATATATAGGTATATATATACTCGCGCTAATTATATAAAAAATTGAGTCTCGGGTAAAATGAGTTGGTTTTCATATGTGTTTGTAATGTAGTGACTCAGATGTCATAGACACTCAATAGAGACTCAATAATGGATGGTTATTGATCTTTGATGTATCAATGGAGCAAAATTTGTGCTTGCTGATCATCTTTGATATACGATAATGCAAAAGACATCGATTAAAAGACAAAGATTAAAATAATCAATCAAATAATCACAATAATTATTATTTCTTACTTGGGTAATATTGTATTATGAAGAGGCGGACTCCCTGATAAAATTAAAGTATTCATATTATCATCATTTAATTAAAAAATCTACATAAATATTTTATGTTTATTACATATCTTTCTATAATCAAATGTGCTGTGTTGGTTTGGTTAATAATTATCAGAAAACAATAATAATTCTGTATGATACCAAGATTTACCAAGACTTTAAAAATCCAAAAGTTTCAACGATTTCAATTATTCTACAATGTCACATTCAATTTTGCTTTATTCTTACATTAATCTAAATATAAAAATAATTGATATAGATATTACTACCTAGATGTTATTAACCTTGATATATAAATAACATTGTGGAAATTTAATTTTGCAGGTGTCTATCGTTCGAGCAAAAAAGACATATACATTGATGTAAACAGCGTTCCAGACTTGCATAAAATTTCAAAATCAGATTTTGGTTTGGTCCTAGGAGGAAATGTAACCCTTACTACCGCGATAGAGACGTTTCAGAAATATTCAAATGATATCGGATTTAAATATCTAAATCAGTTGGCCCAGCATGCAGAAATGATTGCAAACATTACCGTGCGAAATATTGGCACCATAGCAGGGAATTTAATGATAAAATACCAGCACAATGAGTTCCCATCCGATTTGTATTTGATATTAGAATCTGTCGGAGCTCATGTAATTGTCCAGAAAAGTCCCAGTGAGCTTCAAAGCTTTTTCCTTTATGAATTTCTGAATATTAAGATGGATCATAAAATTATCAACAGGATTATGTTATATCCGCTACGTGATAACGAGTACGTATGCAGATTCTACAAGATTATGCCTAGAGCTCAGAACGCTCGTGGTCACGTCGACGCCGGCTTTCTCTTCAAACTCGACGATGACGGCAAGGTAACAATATCTTTACGAATCGTTTATATTACTTTATCATTAATTATTCACTCATATTTCAATTTTCTTCAAGTTTTATTTGTTTACATTTATTATATTTTTCAAAAAGGTGTTGGAGTTGCCTAACATCATCTTCACTGGCATCAACAAGCATTTTTTGCACGCAAAACATACAGAGGAAGTGTTGGTGGGTAAATCTGTCTTCGACAAGAAAGCGCAGAAGTCAATTATGGAAATGTTGCATGCCGATCTACAACCAGATCATGAGCTCCCGTATTACTCGCCGAAATTTCGCAAGACTCTCGCCGAAGGATTATTTTACAAGTTTTTGTTAAGCATCAAACCGGAGAATGTACATCCTAATTATCGTAGCGGAGGCACCTTGTTAAAACGAGGTCTTTCTTTAGGTACACATGATAAAGTTCAGAATATTTTTGTAGACATTTCCATTATAAATATTTATTTAAATCTTCACAGTTCATGTGAATATTAATATTTTTATGAGACGATAAGCGATAAGATATATATTTCGCAAACAATTAGAATATATTTTCGAACAAAGTAGAGGAAAGTCGCCGATACCGACATACCACTTTGTTTTTAGACAATATTTCTTAAACAAAAGATAAAAACAAAACTTTAAAAACATAAGTACAAACTGAAAAGTGTCTTCTATCAGATAGTATATGCAGTTTTTATAATACTGTTTGCAATTTTGCAATAATTAATTTTTTTGTAAGGTAAGTAAAAATGAGCGTCTGACAAAATGGGCTCCAAAACTGAGGCACAGTAGGCAGTAATGCTACGTATTCATATTCTTTTTATTTTACAAGCATTATCTATATAAAGTATCTATAAATGAATGTATATAAAATTTTACAGAATCTTTTCACTTCGTTATAAAACATTTTTATTGAATTATATGCATATATTTATTTTATGCTGTTCTGCAAGATACAAATATGTAATGCAATAGTTTTTCAAGAATTTTTCCATATATGCACGATTGCCTTCAACTCCAATAGACTTATTTGATACTATAAAACAACATTATAAAGATTAACTTAGCTCATGGTCTTACAGATAGGTGTGGCGGTTTACGTTGCACCCCAATTTTAAATTTAAAATCGTATTATAAAAAGACTAAGAGAAAAAATAATATAAATAAAACTGATTTAGGAAACTACAAGCATTTAAAATGACGATTTAAAATACTATCAATAATATAATTATTATTATTTAAACCACGCAATTTGCAAAAGAAAATCGTAAAAATTTTATTTTCGCATTCGTAGAATTCGTTTTTAACTGATTTGGTATAGAAACAAGCCACAAATATACGAATTATGAGTTTGTACTTCTTTAATTAGCTAAACAGATCATGATTTTATTAGTATTAATAAAGTGCAACAGTTAATTTCTGAGAAATAAGGGGGTGTCATTTTAGGAGATCTATATCAGTATTGGCGACTTTCCTCTAACTGCAAACGTTCCTATTCGGGATCTGAGACCTCTTCAGTATGGAAGTCGTGTACAAACTACCTGTAGAAGAGAATTCAAATCCAGAGTGGGGAGGATATGTTTGTAATTAACATCATTAGAAGGTACATTCCAGTTGTTTCCGAAATGTATCTTAATCTTATTCTTATATTATGTACAGAGTGTATAAAAAGTACCGGGACGACGAAATATCTCGAAAACTAAGCACTTTACGAAATAGTGTTTCAGATAAAAGTTGTAGGGTTTCAAAAAATCTATTTACTGGCGAAATGAGTTTGATCTTGGGTGCCATCGTCAAGGCCAGGTCAAGGTCACGTTGATTTTTTTAAACGGAACCCCCTATTTTTCATTACATTTTCTTGTAGCTTACCTCGAGAGCTTTTTAAAACTATTTAAAACTAACTATAATAAAATATTTTTTGCTAATTAACTTGCTTAATGATCTTGATGATTTTGATATTAAAGAAATACTGAAATATTTAATATTTTAGCCGTTTAATATTGATTTATGTATAAAAAGCTCGTAATGTTTTCGACTGATTGTTCGAAATTATATATATAAAAAACACAATTTTCTTAGGTAAGCAAGAATACGACACAAATGAGGACATATGGCCAGTGAGTAAGCCTATGCCAAAGTTAGAAGCTTTTGAACAGACATCAGGCGAAGTCCGTTATTGCAATGATGTGGGTCCATATCTTAAAGAAGTGTTTTGTGCCTTTGTCCTCACCGAAATCGGTAATGGTAAGATCGAGAGTATAGATGCAAGCAACGCGTTAAAAATGGAGGGCGTAATAACATTCTTCAACGCCGAACATATACCGGGGAAGAACCTATGTATTTCTGCCGCCAGCAAGTTGATGTCCTTACCAGAAGATGAGTTGCTCTTCGCCGAAAAGGATGTTTTGTATGCCGGCCAGCCAGTTGGCGTAATCGTCGCGGAAACGCATAATTTAGCGAATGAGGCTGCAAAATTGGTACAAATTACATATAACGAACCTCTGAAAACGAAGCCGGTGATAAATATTGAAGATGCTCTAAATTCGCAGGACAATACAAGAATCAGGCAAAGTACTAATATTCCAGCAAAGAGGAAAGGTAAAAATTGATAAAAAAACGACAGATTTAATAACATTTCATTAAATTGTTTTCCTTTTGATTGTAATTATCAGAAAAAAATAGCAGTAAATGTATGTTTCAAGTTTTGCTAAAAAAATATAGAATAAGCTGCACATTGCAAACTTGCGAAATAGTACAAATTATTAATTATTAAAAATGTTGTAATTATTCAGTTTAGGTAAATCATCTCTAATGATCTTGATCTTGACGTACGTTGTCGAGAGCATTCTGCTGAGAGGCCTTCGGAAGTTTTATTCGTTAAAAGTTAATAAAGTATTGGTCATGAAAGATTAGACAGAGAATAAATAAATGTCCTTATCTCTTACGTCCTTACTTATCTACTTTTGTACTACTACTCAATCAGTAATGTCCTAGTTTATCTAGATTAGATCTGGTCACTCTACGTCAAGGTCATATTCAATAGAGGTAACTTTGCTAAAGTGAATAGTTACCTCATAATTACAAAATATATTGAAAAAGATCATTTTAATATTTTTATAGGAACCGATATTCACCACGTAATAAAGGGCGTCTTTCAGTGCGGTAGTCAATATCATCATACTCTTGAGCCTCAATCTTGTGTATGTATTCCTGTGGAGGATAGTATGGATGTCTATCCATCGTCACAATGGATAGATCTCATTCAAGTATCGATCGCTAATTGTCTTAAGGTTCGAAATAATAGGTAACTCATTAATCTATAGTCAATCTCTTCTGTGTCAAAATTAATTACATTAGTCCAATTGGAATAATGTAATTTACACTGTAATAGCGTTAAAAACTGTAACAATTATATATAGTGAAATATTTTTTTAAATCCACTATTAAAAACGTGTCTTATTCACATATGTAAGTAAAGTTGAAAATAAAGTTGATAATAATTCTTACGAATTTAAAAATACCAATATTATGTGTAATATTACCATTAAAGTATTATATATATTACAAAAATTAGAACATTTATATAAAATTATAAAATGCATTATTGTTATCATAGTTATCCTTCGAATATAAAGACATATTTATACAATTAGAAGTAAAAGTACTAGTTTCTATAAAACAGAATATTTGTAATATTTGTAATATTTCTGATATAAATTGTGTAATTTTTGCACAAATTATTAAGTATGCAATTTTACATAATGTAATAAAGTATATGAATCATATCATTATACATAACTATCCTTTTCAAACAAAAACATCGAGCTACAAAAACATCGTAGCTTGTGACTACTCAATAATGTCTCTATTGTCAATATCAATATCGTTCAAATTATCAAGTCATGAAAAGTTAAAAAGAGGTTACTTCAAGTAAAAGTCAAAATTATTTGTATAATATAAAATGAGAAGTAAATTATTTCTTTTTTCTTATAAAATAAAATAAACTAAATAAGCAATAATAAGTAAATAAAATAATATTAGAAAAATGTATTTTGTAAAATAAACTTAGCACTAATCGTGTGAATGTAATGTTTTTTAGCGTTAATGTGCATGTCAATCGACTTGGCGGTTCGTACGGATCGAAAATCTCACGCAACGCGCAAATTTCGTGTGCTTGCGCATTGGTATGTTATAAACTGAGACGTCCAGCGCGACTCATCATGACGATGGAGAGCAATATGCAATCGATAGGAAAGAGATATTCTACGCGTCAAGAATATGAGATCGGAGTAAGCAATGACGGAATTATACAATATCTCAACTCGAAACACTGGAGTAACTGCGGTTCTAGTTTCAATGAACCACAAGCAGCCATGATAGCTTCCTACATGGAAAGGTATTGAAATATAACATGTAATATAAACGAAAATTTTAAATTAAAAAATTTATCATAATAATGTATTGTAATAAGACACTTTTCTAATACTAAAATTTGTTTATTACATTTTCTGTGCACAACGTTTTAAAATCGAGTGGCAATTTTTTAAGCAGAAGGAGATACTATAATAAATTAAACTATTTTTATCCTATATTGAACAGAAATTTGAAACATTCAAAAAAAGAAAAAATTCTAATACTAATGTTAATAAAAAAAATTACTTTAATTAATTGTGATAAAATAATTTTCTAATTATTAACAGTAATTAACTAAATCAAATTTGAAAATACTCCATTGTATTTAATCATTCGTTTTTAATTAAACATACTTACAAACGATCTTTTATCGTTAGAAGCTGTTATTTAACTGATACTTGGACGTTCAACGGATTCGATGTGAGAACCGATTTACCGTCAAACACGTTTTGTCAGGCATCAGGGTCTACAGAAGCAGTGGCTATAATGGAAAATATAATGGAGCACATTGCAAAAGTGACGAACAAGGATCCAGTAGCGGTCAGATTGGCGAATATGAATGAAGTGGATAAAATTGCATTAGAACCTATGATAAAAGATTTGTCGAATATGAGCAACTACGAGAAGAGAAAAAATTTTATTAGTGAATACAACTTCGAAAATCGGTGGAAGAAAAAGGGAATTGCCATGGTATTGATGAAGTACTTGATAACGAACAATTATAAAGGACAATTCGATGCAAAGGTGTCGATTTGCGCTCGAGATGGTTCGATATGCGTGACGCATAGCGGAATTGAGATCGATCAAGGTATAAATACGAAGGTATGAAAATGCAGTAGTTTATCCACGCAAGTTTTTTCATGCTTTTCATCTAATTATCCATAAACTAATAGAAAATTATATTTAAAAATTCTATTCCTCGAATTTAGGTTTCTATTTTAAAAAATTAGAATGAGAAACTTTATTTTATTTGAGATTTCTAGATATTAATACTATTCATTCTTGATACATATTTTCTATATTTTAGATACAGATTAATTATCTTATAAATTTATTAAAATTGGAAAAAGTTCGATTTAATATATAAGACGATTTACATTTCTGTCAACTTGAAAATAATTTTTGTACACTAGATCGCCCAAGTAGCAGCTCATACATTGAATATAGATATCGAAATAATCTCTGTTAAAGGAAGTAATAATTTGACGGCTCCCAACAAGTCAACTACAGGAAATAACATAACTGTAGAAAACTGCGGATTCGTAAGAATTTAATTTGTCTCCATCACTGAAAGACAGTGTCATATATACATAACGTAACACATATATAAGAGTGAATAAGAAGTCCCGAATCGGCAAATATCGAAAAAAACAAAGCATTTTTGGGAAAAATAATTCAGACAAAAGTTGTAGGGTTTAAAAAGATCTTATACTGACTGATCACATCTGTTTAACTTTAGGTGACGTTGCCAAAGTCAGACCAAGACCACACCGATTTTTTTAAACAGGATACTAATTTTGATTCCAGAATCTAATAGCTGATGTCAAGAGCTTTTTAAAACACTACAACAAAGATCATTTTGATCTTGACCTGATCTTGGCGATGCCACCCAAAATCAAACAGATGTGATCAGTAAATAGACCTTTTTAAATCCTATAATTTTTGTCTGTATCATTTTTCCCAAAAATGCTTTATTTTCCAGATATTTCAGCGGTCCAGGATTTTTCTTTCACCCTGCATACATAACGTAAGACACTTGATGATGACATCATTATTACATTTATTTCAGGCAACAATTCAAGTTTGTAATCGGATTTTGAAGAGACTTGAACCGATAAGAAAAGAAATGGAAAATCCGACATGGAAGGATCTTGTTTTTACAGCATATCAAAATGGCATTGATTTATGTGAACATTATGTGTAAATATCATTAAATCATATTTGATATGTCAGTGAATCTTATGTCACACGATATCATAAAGCAAATACTTTCCAAAAATATTGTACTTCCATTAGGCAGAAACATTTATTTCATCTTTTGCTTAATATAAGTTGTACAATGCAAAAACGCAGTTTAAATATATTCCATTTGCATTTCCAATTAGTAATAAAAGCATTTACCATGTGGTTTTGGAAAGATTTGAAAAGATAAATAAATTTAAACTTTGAATTTATGTAGTGGGAATAGATACTACACAAATTATTAATTATTACATAATACATTTCGTTTATACGTATATACCTTGGCAGGTTGGGGACTGAGCAAACGAAGTCTTACTCCCTTTACGGTGTTAGCATTGCCGAAGTAGAAATCGATGTGCTGACCGGTCAGCACATTATCAGGAGGGCTGATTTGATGATTGATGGTGGTGTAAGCTTGAATCCCGAAATCGACATCAGTCAGGTGGAGGGAGCTTTTGTGATGGGAATAGGATACTGGACTTTTGAGGATCTGGTATACGATCCTGATACAGGAGTATTAATGAATAACAGATCATGGGTACGTTAACTTTATCAAATTTCGATACAACTAATATCGCCAAGACTCAACTACTTCGATTCACCGAGATTGTCCTAAAAGTACATAATTAAATTGTTTAAAGTATTTGATTATTGTCATAGAATTATAAGCCACCAGGAGCGAAGGATATTCCTGAAGATTTCCGCGTATACCTACGCAATTACTCGAACAACGCAATCGGTATCTACGGTTCAATGTGTAAGATCCAAACACTTATTGAAATTTGAATATGATTCAAGATTTTATTTTTTATATTGCAAAAATAATTAATTACTTTTGTACACTACAAAAAATCTAGAATATTTTCTACATTTTTGTCTATAGAATCAAAAAATTCCCAGAAATTCTTTTAGAAAAGTTTTCAAATCCAAAATTTAATCGATTTACAAGCGCTCTTTTCAATTATTTAATTTGTTAAGAAAATTAATAAACAATTTAATCAAAATGAAAAGAGCTTTTTGCTAAGGATATCAGAATCAGGAATATTAAACGATTGATGTATTTGATTAATACTGAAAATATGTTTGCAGCAATCGATGAATCATCGCTTTGTATGAGTTACGTGATTCCAATAGCATTTCGCTACGCATTGAATTCCGCTAGATTAGATGCAGGGAATACGGAATGGTATCAACTGGGTAAGTTTTAAGAAAATATACATTCGTATCTCCTTGACAATTCAACATACAACATAAATCTTCTAACTTAAGTTGGAATTATTATATACATTTTTTGCAACAAGTACTAATCATTTAATTACCACTATACTTTAATTTAGTGCTTATATTTAAAAAACATTTTTTAAATACTTTTACGAGAGTCCAAAAGGAAATTATATAATAATATAAAAATAATAAAATAATATAATAAAATAATAATAAAATAATCAAAGAAATGATGTTCATATCAAAGAAATTTTTTCTTTAACTGTATAACAAAGAAACATTTCTTTGAATTGAAGAAACTGTCTCTGGGTGTAGGTATGAAATTTTTAATTGAAAAAAGTGCGTAAAATTGTATGGAAACATTTAGAATTTTAAGAAGGCAGTTTATTTATCAGTGTTCATTACTGATTAAGAAATATTTAACATTTTTATAGTATTCCTAAGAGAAATATACAATATTCTCATTTATGAATAAAAAATAATATAATAATAAAAATAATATAATAATATAAAAAATATATAATAATATTTAAAATGTAACTTGTTATATTTGCAGATGGACCGTGTACTACCGAACGTATACTTTTGACTAGTTTAACTGGCGAAAACATGATAAAGTTTATGGAAATGGAACAAATATAGGAATCGTTCTCAAAGAAACTGATGCTTGAAATAAATTTGTATTCTGTTAGCCTTTTAATTGCTATGTAAGTATTGCTATATAAGTAGTATAATTAAAAAATTTTGTTAATTAAATTTGATTTAAGTATTCACGTTTTGTTAATACGAGAACTTTTATAGTAACAATTGAATTACGATGATTTGATCAATTAAATGTTTTTAAAACTGCTAATTCACGTCTCTTCTCACTTACGGTAATATTTAAAAAATTTTCTCCATTAAACTCCTTTAACCCTAAAATGCTACCATATGAAAATTTTTGTGTTCGACTAGGCTATTGAACGCTAATATAAGCTAGGTTTTCAATGATCATCAGAAAATCGAATACTTTTTCTTCTTCTTACATTAAGCCTCTAGCCTGTGTTACACCTCTCTCATATGCTTGTGGTATGCACGCTTATTTAATTGTCACAAGTATATAGGATCAGTTTTAATGCCGGTTTCGAACGGCGGATTCTTTTGAGAGGTATTTCTGTGGGCAAGGATACTCTCGGGAGGTTGCCGGCCTTTTCTGAGAGAAGATACGAGCGCAAACATTTTAGTTCCTATTGGGATCGAACCCGGAACCTCTGGCATGATAGATCAGTGCGCTGTTTGCCATACCACGCTCACATTCGAAGTCACATCATGTTAAAAAATAAGGTAATGAGCACAAGGTTTCAAAAATTCAGTTCGTTATAATAGTAATAAATATAAAGTTTGGAGCTTCTGTGTGTGATAGGTAATGTTGTAACAGCGAATGTGATGAGTTTCAATCTTTGCACAATTTTGTATTATTATATATTTTATTGGTAAGTTATGAGGAGATATTAGGTTATATACTCCATATTGCTTTAAGGTAGTACCTGATAATGTGCTCATTCCTTCTTTTTTTTAAGTTAATAATTATGATATTTGTGTTTTTAAAGATTATAAATATTTTGTCATATTAAAAGTTTGAAACGTTTGAAAATCTTATGTTAATTGAGTGTGGCCTAGTACGTAAGGTTTCTCGTACGTAAAGTTTATCAACAATACAATACTTAATATCGATATCCAGCGTAAAAAAAAGTAACATAATAAAATTTAAAAAAATGCAATAAGTATGATGCAATGCTTATATCGGTCAAAGCTGGATCTTCGAGTGCTTTAAATAATTTCATATGAATTTATTTTTTCCATAAAAATGGAATTACGAATTTATGTTTTTTAATGCAAATTTTTAGCTCGTTTTTACCATAATTACTAGTATGTAAATATATTCTAAAGTCTCTATAATTACTAACAATTGTAGAGATTTTGAATACACTTTAAACTTTTCCAATCGTATATCGTCAAATAAGGTTTAATTTAGTAAAAACGAGCTAGAGGCCCTCCACCACCCCCGCCGATTTATCGGCGGATCTTTTGTAAGTATATTCATCCGCAAAAAAAACGAGCTACTAACAAATTTAGTAGTCCGCTTTTGCAGGTGAATATGTTTTTAATTTATTTTTTATTTTTATGTCTAATTATTTTATTGTATTTTGCTAATCATATTGCATTATGATTAACGAAATACAATGAAATAATTAGCAATCGTATGACATAATTTTTTTATATCTTTTTGTAATATTATTTTTTAATGTAATCCTTTATACATTTAATAATAATTGTTTATAATACAATGTATAATTACAAATACTGTTAAAAATATAATAAAAATTATATTATAGGAGCATAATTAAGTAAATTTAATAATACGGGATCATACGAAAACGTCGAAAATGTACACAATAACAAAAACTTTTAAACCAATGTTTAATAAAATATTAATAAACTCGGAATGAAATACTAACAACAATTAGAGCATATTTACTATTAATTATTAACTTGCAATTATAAAACTTATTAATATCGCGATAAAAAGTCATTAATATATTTATGACAGCACTTTCATCGCGTTCAAGATAACTATCCCAATAATTGGATCACATCAAGGTCCTTCCGCCTTGTGGTATGCTGGTTAGCATCCGATACAAAAAAGAACAATCTTCATAGTGGAGAGCGAACTTAATGTATTCTGATTTTACGTCAAATTCTCAAGATCCATTTGTAAAGAAAAGTTAAGCAATCTGTCAAACACTAGCGGTCTTGTTATAGGAAAGTGTGAATTCCGAATCTTTCAGACTACTTACGATAGTAAAGTAAATTTAATAATACGGGATCATACGAAAACGTCGAAAATGTACACAATAACAAAAACTTTTAAACCAATGTTTAATAAAATATTAATAAACTCGGAATGAAATACTAACAACAATTAGAGCATATTTACTATTAATTATTAACTTGCAATTATAAAACTTATTAATATCGCGATAAAAAGTCATTAATATATTTATGACAGCACTTTCATCGCGTTCAAGATAACTATCCCAATAATTGGATCACATCAAGGTCCTTCCGCCTTGTGGTATGCTGGTTAGCATCCGATACAAAAAAGAACAATCTTCATAGTGGAGAGCGAACTTAATGTATTCTGATTTTACGTCAAATTCTCAAGATCCATTTGTAAAGAAAAGTTAAGCAATCTGTCAAACACTAGCGGTCTTGTTATAGGAAAGTGTGAATTCCGAATCTTTCAGACTACTTACGATAGTAATAATTTTGGTAGAATGTCAATTACAATTAACATTTTTATTTAATATTAAAATTCGCGAAAAAATATGTTCTGCTACACATTACTAAAAACCATCTCTTATTAAAAATAAGCGGATAGAATGATTTCCTTATGGAATAGTGGTTACGAAGAGGAATATATTTAATACTAATAAAATACATGCGTTATTGTAATTTTTTATATGTATGGATACAAAAGTTTCTCGGGTACTAACTATTCGAGATAAGTCGAACCCGATAATAACGGAATTTTAAAGAACATTTATACTGAAAAATTTATTATATAAAAAATTTAACAATTCCTTATTTTTCTGTATTTTTCAAAAATTTTAATTATTAATATCCCGTTAATATGAGGGTACCCATTCGATTTATCTCGAATTTTTTGTACTCACACATTTTTAATTAAATTCATGTAATCATGATACATCGTTAAAAAAATATGAAGTATTTAGTAAAAATTATCTAAATTGACAAAGATCAAAATTTGTTAAATACATATAATCTCATAATATCTGCATGTATTTTATCATAGAAAAGTATATATACATATAAATTAAAAATTAATAACATTCTGGAATGGCGGGATGTCCGACACCTAAAAATAATTTTAAAAATAACAGTTAGAAAGTTAAATATACACATTCATAACCATATTTTGGTTAGAGCAATCATCGAAAAATAAGCAAATTATTTGTATAAAACTTAAATTTATTTACTTAATAATTTGGATTTAAAAAATCCAAATCATTATATATCCATATTAATCGTATAATATTAAATTGCTATTGTTATTAATAAGACAGTACTATTAATAACACTATTATTACTAGTGGGAGAACATTTAATAAACAAAGAAAGCGACGAAAATTGTATGCTAAAATATACCACTGAATTATAATTTCGCAACTTGACTTTAAAATATATAGCAATTTTATTACTTCCAGTAACTGCAGACGAGAAAACCCGGAATTAATTCCAATCCTATACAAGAATCTCCGAAGAGACATCAAACTAAACTTCGCGAATGGACTTTACGAAAAGCGACGAGAAGTAACTCTCCATGATGAAAATAATTTCAACTTTCCATCGGTATAAAGTACGCAATCACTGGCATCCATTGACGCGAAGGACAGCCTGAAATAAGGCCTTTGCATATAATAAATTGATCACTAAAATATACTTGTAATTCTATAATATTAAAAATGTAAATGTCGAAAAGCAAACAAGAAGTTAATATTTAACCATTGCCTCAGTGAAAGCTCCAATCATTTTGACTTATTTAATAAGTTTGTATACTATAGTTTAATACAAAGAAAAATTGATGATTATTCTAAACATCAAATTTTTAATTAGAAGTAACTTAAAATTATTAATGACTTTTTGATATTCAAAATAAAATCCAAATTTAAAAAGTTTCAAAATTAAATATTTATCAAACTTATTAAATCAATAAACAATTTTTCATCGATTTCGTATAATTTACATCAATTACGCAACAATTTGGTTTACTACGACAAGATAAATGCTATCTGTATTAAATAGATACTCAATACGGATATATATATATCCAGTAAAAATGTATAACTTATTAGTAATCGTTGTGTAAATTACAAAAGTAAGTATATATGATGGCATTTACCTGGACATAGTTTATATAAATTTTATATTACATACCTAATACTATTATAAGTACATACATTTATTTACAATATAATTAATTACAATATTAACGCGTTACATAATTTGTACGTGTATAGAATTTTATAAAAAAAAGTTTAATTTTAGGCTGAAAAGTCAATAAAATTTGAAATTAATTTGTTTAATTTTCATATTTGATAATTGGAACGAGATGTTGATAGAGAGAGGAAAGACTGGGATCAAAAGTAACACAGGTAAGCTGTAACACATAAAAACCATTATAAACAAAATAGCAAAGCGTAAGGAAGAGATAGAAGTTTATAATATATTTATTACAAATTTCTATCTCTCTCTTCCTTACATTTGCATATTTTGTTTATAACGTTTTTTTATATAAGTGTTACAATTTACCCGTGTTACATTTGAATCTAATCTTCCCTAATTAAATAAAACTTAAAATTAATTTAAAATTTTATTCAGTTTTTAATCCTTCCTTTCCAATTATCAAGTATGTATATAATGTGTTTATTCCTACCTGTCCATACTTATTGTCCTATCTACTCGTATTTTCATTGATTTGTGCCTATTCGGGTATACCTATCTCCGTGTATTCCTACCTACATTACCTACTTCATAAATGTGCAATATAATACGTTATATATTGCGCGAATATAATACGT